CGTAATTAGCCTACAAGATTAGGAATGACGCGAGAAAAAAGCACGTGTTCTATTTGGGATTACACGCGCCCCATAAACAAGAGGTAAACAATTGCGTTCACGTTTCTATGCACGCTATCTTTCTAACTAATATATATCATTAATTTAGAAAAAAAATGTACATCTCTTGTATCTAGGTTTCCATATACAAAGGCTTCAAAGAGAATTTTATTGTTGTCTTTCTGTCTAATTGCAGACACTATGGCTATTCTAAATAAAACTGTAACATTATCTACTTACAATTAATAATAATGCCATATAAACCTACTAATATTATAAATCCGAAATTTTTTTACCCAATTACGCTCGTAAACGGCTCAACTGATTTGAATAAAATTTGGTACACAGATAGATAATATCGTAACATAACACATACACGTAAAATACTTTATACACTAACTTATGCTTTTAACTTTAAAAAATGTCTTTCCTGTTAATCTACAAAAGGGTTTCAAAAAATCAAATTTGCATTTGTTGTTTTATGTAAGATTTCTGTAACTATGAATAGAAGTAGACCCTGTTCCTAATAACCGTCCTAACGTATTAACAAAAATTTTATTAGGAAATTAGATAGATACATGGGTAATATCAGTCCTGTTCCGATATCTATATATTGAGTACCTTTGGATATTGATGTCAGAAAAAAAGTCATTACCCATTTTAATATTGTTTATACCAGTCACATAACTATATTAATACCAATAGATTAGTTATTAGACCAATAAATATTATAATTACAATATATAGATATTGCTATATATCGCCCACTACATACCCCTATTGAGTAGTATGGCACAGAAAAATTTGCAGTCGCCCTTACTAACACGGTGCGTTTAAGTTAATACAAAAAAAAAATTCAAAATAAATAAAAAACGTTTCTTATTTAATTTTGGGCACATGTTCCTCTGAAAAAGAATGTTCAGTTTCTATAATAAAAACTCCCTTTACTAAACATAATTTTAATGTTAATAATTTTGATATCACATCGTTCACCTCGTTCACCTTCACGCTAGCATGGCTTACAAAAAAAAACGAGTTTTACAATATACATCTAATTTTGCACTATCTACCTCAAAGAAGAAAAGACCTGAATTTATATGGATGATATATAGATATTATTTAATTAATTAATTACTATTTCAAGAAAATTAAGGGATTTATATACCTACATATGCCTAAACAAGGTTGGCGTCAACGTACTATAAGGTGCCGTCAAATACTATAAGAGATAGCGATTTTTAAAATATCCAGTTATTATTATTAACGTCGTAAACTAAAATAAATTCATCAGATTATTATTAAAATTAAGACATTTTTTAATTATTTAAATTTAAAACTTGATGACGTAAAATTCTATTTAATTAATAAATAAAGGGATAGGTTTGGCCCTTTTCACAAATTAATATTTATGTAGGTATGACGATGGTTTTTACATGCATTCGCTATAGCGAATGCATGTAAAAACCATGATATATCATAGGATTAAATATTTAATTTCTGCATATTTACTCTCCAACTTGGTCATATGTTGACTTTCAATAAGAAAAAAAAAATTATGAACAACAAAAATTAATTTAGAATCAATATTTCAATTAACACTGTTATTGTATACTACTAGCAGTTTCCTGCGGCAATATCCGCATGAATCAGTATATAAAGTATCCTATGCTCTAAGATTCGATAAATGATATGATAATAACCTATATATGCACTAAATTTCATTTAAACCTATCCGGTAGTTTTCGCGTGCAATGTAACAAACATAAATTCATCCTCACAAACTTTCGCATTTACAATAATAATAATAAAAAAATTTGCATATCGTGCTGTACAGCTGTGGAATAAACTTCCCGTATTCAGAATAGCCCGTCCAGCAGTTCCTTCAAAAAAAGATTAAAATCATTCTATCTTTCCAATTTAGTTTAAATATAAAAATGATTAGAGGACTGTCATCATTGTGTTCTCTTGTATTTGATATTTATATGTTGTATTTAACGTGTGTATGTATGTGTGTATATATATAATTATTTATAATGTATGTAAATATTTATTTAAATTTCTGTCTTGCACTACTACTGCCCACTTACTACTTCCTATGCCACTGCATTAGGTTGACTGGAAGAAATCTCTTTTAGAGATAAGTTCGCCTTTGCTAACATTGTTGTTAACTGTATGTTTTAGTGCAATATATATATATATATATATATATATATATATATATATATATATATATATATATATATATATATATATATATATATATATATATATATATATATAAAATCGCAATTTGATGTTAGCCTGTTACCTTATCACGAGAAAATAACTGAACGGATTTCAAGGAAATTTATTATTTATTATCGGTACAATAAAATATAAATTTCATTGAAGTCTAGGACGCTTTTTTATCCCAATATACATTAGGGTGCGGGATATGACTAGTATGAAAATAAAGACAATTGAAAAAAGCGTATTTGTTGAATGAAGAAACGCTATCGCGTTTATTTTACATACGTGGGCTAACTTTAAGCCTCGTAGTGCGTAAACACCGCGGCGCGCGGGAACTGCAGCGTATGCGCCGCGCCGCATCGACATGTGCGGACACAATAGCCGCATTCTCATGGACTCAGCCCCGTTAAGCTGATTGCGTGACGTCATCACACCCCAGGCCAGTTGCACATTGATACAATTACTACTCAATAACGAGAATACTGACTTTGTATTCTTGTAATTAAAACTAAGCGTAAGAAACTTGTAAAATTTCCATTTACCACGATCAATCTATCTACCTACTTGCTGTCATTGTGGTAAACTCATATTACTCGTATCTAGGTAAAATAGACAAACACATTTAAATGTCGCAGTTATGTGCCTACTAGCATGGCTTCAATTAGTTCAATCCATTTTAGTTGTAATTTTAAAACATGTGTCGTAATTTGAACGCACTACTTTTGTACTGGAGTGTAAAGCATTGGGACAATAAATCGTTAGCCCATTACGCTCTATTTAAGTACATGTAAATAAAATTTGAGTTTAAAGAAACTGTATTTAAGATGTTCTGCGAAGCACTTACAAATAATTTGTTATAGTTATTTTCAATAGAACTCAATGAAAAAGGAATCCAATTTTGTCGAAATTATCACGGAAACACTGTAATGCAATTAGTAATATACCAAAACATTAAACCCGTTAATAAGCAGCAGATGATCTTATGATCGGATTAATAATTATTCGTTTGTTTACATTTTCATAAAATTGACACGAACTAGGTATATCTAACAACAATATATGATCTACCTGTTAATATATAAAATATTGATTTGCATTAGAAGTGAGCACTTAAAACATAAATATTAAACAAATACATTAATGCAGGCTCCATTATAAACACAGCCTATTATCATATCACATAGTCTATAGAGGGCACGATCCCGGCTTACTGAAGGATCGGAGCGAATAAGCGGTTCACGGCTCTATAAGTCTATGATCCACATGTAAAACAACAGAACGTGAAAGTTACATTCGATAGTCAATAACACATATATAATGACAGTGAACATAAGTTCTAATAACATTGACTTTTATATTATTACATGATACAATTATCAAATTGTTGAATGCGACGTACATTGTACATTGTACAAAGTTTGAAATTTATTAAGAACTTATAAGAATGTTTTAATATACGCCTATATAATTAAACGGTATTTTAATGCATATTTTAACACACCCTGTTTTTTTCAAAATTTAAAACAGTTTTGTAAAGCATACAGCTCTCGCTATAGATAGTCAAGATTTCTTGCATTATGAATACTATGGGCAGCGAGAAGTCTTGTTTATGGACGCATAATATACTTACATCCTAATTGACGTGAGCATAATTGCGGAATATAGCTAGTATCTATAAATTTGATATAAATATGAAATTTGTATATTTTTTAATTTTTAGTTACTTAAAAATTAATCTAATCGTCATGAAATTTGGCGTAACACATGATAAATACTGTTATGGGGAAATTTTCTTTTTATGTTTATCATTTAATTTGTTCGATCAGTTGTATATTTCAAAAGACTCGGGGACTATACACAAAACCTTTTTGTTTTATTTATTGTGGCAGTGTAAATTTAAATTGCGACAATAAATGATAATAATAATTTGTCTGAAAAATAACAAAGCGCAATCTTCTTGTACACGCGTTTTATGCACTTCAAATTATACGTACCTATGCACTCTACAGTGCGATTATAACATGTCGTAAAATATTTTGTGACGTCCATGTTATGTATGTAAGTAGATGTTTTATAGCTAATGTTTGTCATTCTAGGTCTTATAAAAATAACGATATATCGTAGCACTTGTAATCTTAATCATAGATATCGAAACATAATAGAATCCATAATTTAAAGATGTAAATTTTTTGTCGGATTCTCTTTAAAATATGAAAATTATAACATAGATATTACAGAAATGTAATCATGTAAGATCTCAGATTATATCTAAAGCTTAATTATTAAATATATTCATAAGCACAAAGTTAAATATATAAGTAGGTGTCCTTTTCAAATAAAGATTGTGTCCCACAAACACAAACAACTTTAATTGTAGCAAATTAAAGTTGTTTTAAAATATATAAAATATAAGTATATCCTTCCAGAATAATGTAAAAATTGTAAATATATCCTTCCAGATAACAAAAGAAATTTTCGAATCGGTTTATAACTAAAATAGGAGGATACAAAGATAGGAGGGTACAAACATAAAAAAATACAACAGAATTGAGAGCCTTCTTTTTAAGTCGGTTGAAAATTATTCCTTGGATGGTTGAAAATACCTAAAAGTTATTTATTCCTAAATATTTTAGTCGCAGTCTTTGTGTGACTTGCACCAAACAATAAAATTGATTAGATATATGTTGCACTTATGTGATATAAAATTAATTAAAATTTTGAAATGTGTTCAGCTGTACAGCACGAGCGTGGTCCTCGGAAGCCCAAGTTACACGCCGGTTTAACTGCACTTCCGCCTCCACCTCTGGCTCACACTCATAAGCCACATCCGCTCAAGTTATCTCCACCGTCACCATACACTCCACTACCACAACCGTTCAATTTTCAGGTAAAACTGTGTTACAAATATTATAAACATGTAATATTCATATCTCAATCATATGTTATATCATTTTGGTTACATATATAATTTCATTATATATGGGAAACATAGGCACAAAACGGAAAGATCGCAGATATTTCGACAGTTATTGTGGGACCCATATTTAAACCGTAAGATCCTGGAATCATCCCTGAACCAGACAAAATATATGCTATATTTTCAATATTAATTTTTATTTATGAATTTGTGAATTTGGAAATTTAACAATGGCAAGCTTAGGTACTATTATAGTTAATTACTACCCACCTTCCGTCCACTAAATGAAGCTATGACCTCAAATGCATTGCAGGGTGTAATTGGCTCAGGACCGTTTCTTATGGCAATCTATGAAGGATGGAGGAAATCTTAGATAATATACGAGTAGAAAGAGCATCGAGCCTTAAAAACGGGTCAACTTTTTGTCAACTAATTCTCAAATTAGCTGATTCGTTTGTTTTTATCATTGTTCTTTATACTTACACACATAATGTGTCTTAACGTATCTATATTTAATTATTTAATAAATAAAATGAGTATTTGCGCATTAAAAAGATACAGAATTAAAAGACAAGATAAATAAAGAAGTCATAAACGAATCACTCATAACTATTTATTACGCAAAATTGTATGGAAAAGTTGACCTGTTTTTCTCGAAGCACTTGTATGGAGACACTATCTATAACATCTAAGTAAGTATTAAATATATATTATTAAATAGTGCCTCTATTTACTGTATATGTGCCAGTAAGTTCATTTATCTATTTTTGTTTGTTTCCTCTTAGCACCTTAATAGCTCTATCAAGCGTCATGAAATTTGGTATAGAGTTATGTTAAACAGATTAAAACTTTGAGAGAGATTGAAAAGAACAGGGATTTAGTAATGTCTGCTCCCGGTCAATAAATGTATTTCGGCCACGCCGTTAAAGTCCTAAATAAAACATAATTACTTGTTATTTCCAAACGGGAAATTTATAGGTAATAAATTAATTCACCGACCGGGATAAAAAGTTCCCTATGTCCTCCATCCCATATAGTACCTTTACACCAAATTCCATATAGATAATAGTTAAGCCGTTAAGACGTAACAAATTAACAAACTCGCTCTAACATTTATAATATTAATAACAGCTTTCATATACTTCTATAGTTTAGCATGAGCGGCATGAGCGAGCAGGCTCCTTTGAGCACGGCGTCATCAGCGGGCTCCAGTGGAGCTGGCGGAGCCGGTGCTGTGAGCCCTTTGCCGCTCATGGCTGAACCCTTCCTGGCACCACCTCCACCCGGTCTGCTTCACATCCTCATGTCTTCAGACAAATGTCAGGTAATAAGAAACAAGTAGAGTCTATTTCGATTATTGATATTTTTTGAAATGGTTAATATGATGTACTTAATAATAGACGAGAAGAACCAAATATTTAGACTTTTTTTATTATTTTAAATGTTTAAAAAAATATGTTTAAATAACTGGAATTAAACTCACTCAGTTTTCTTAAAATAATGTCATCTAATTAAAACAAGAGATATCTCAATTACTACGAGTAAAATTAAATCAATACAATTTGCAAAACTGTTAATATATTTGCTTGTTAGTCAAACACGCTTAAAGGCTTTAAAAGTTTTAAATAATATTTGGTACATGAATTCCATATTATAACTCGACACTCTCACTCATACACAGGTACACTTATTTTATAGATACACTTATTACATAGATACTTTATTGATTTTGTTTATTATTTTTTATATTCATTTAGACAAAGCTGCGGGATACGGCTAGTTTACAATAAATTTTCTAGTCAATCACATACTAAACAAATTTCAAGCAACTTTTTAATATATTGTAAAGGAATTAATGTGGAGCGCCAAGCAGTTACAATTACAAGGGGATCCTACAGTACTGCGGCCACCGGCCAGTGCATTTGGGGCACCATTGGCACCGACCTGGGAACTACTGCAGGTAAGATAATAGACATTTAATATTTTACTTAATATGTATATTTATACTATAAAATAAATAGGTCCTTTCTTCTAAATGTACTATAATTTCTGGTAGATTTATTATTGAAAAGTTGTTCAGTTTATTTAATACTATCGATTTTATACAAATATTCTTTCCGTGCACCTTAGGGTGTATGCAATTACGGTAATTTTTTTATAGAACATATTGCTAAAAATGTTACATATAAGTACATGCACTTATATGTTTGTAAATTAGACATAACCTATAAACAGCCACCTAGGCCTTGTCTATGTTCGAACATTGTCTAGTTGTTATTTAAATATATAAAGGTATATTACATATATGTAGGTATATATGACAAATATTATCAAGAGAAATACTTATTGCAATTATTGCTCATGGGTAGGCATTTTCTTTTTATTTCACTCTCAGAAACCATCAAGATATAAAACATCTACATATATTTTTATGGGGGTGTGTAAAATATGTTTAGGCTTTTTGACTTTAGGGGCGGGCGCTAAGTCGCGATTGGACGGCCAGCGATGACTTCTCGCCTTTACTTGACTTACTCCGCCCATCGTAGCGCTGTCGTAGAGCTTACTGTCATCGACGTAGCAGCGTGAAACTGAAATCGCAAATTACCATTTTATACGCATTGTCATTATTGCGCATGTCTTATACTCGAAACATTTGTTTTTATTTCATTATACAGATAAACCTTGACAATAAACGTAAAATATTTATATGTATTTTTAATTGTTCTTAAGTGTCCAACTGCCTAAGTAAGTACCCGTTTCCATACGAAGGTACGCATCTTGTTTCATATGTCAATAACATTATCTAATGTAAGTTTTAATAACATTATCCTTAATAAAAATATGCAGTCAAAGCATCCACTACTTCCTCCCGTATTTATGATTTTACAGAAGTAAACCAGAGGTTGACTGTATCAAGTTGTCTGCACGGAAATCTTGGTCTTAATCGTGTTTCTACCACTTAATAGATATACCTATTTCTATTTTAAGAGTGAAAAATGACAATAAAATTACTAATTATAAAGCCGTGATATCTTAGTCATCAAGAAATATCAACCCATAGGTGTCACAGTATATTATATAATATCTATGGTCTTATTCTTATCTATAGTAGACAGTAAACATTACCCATCAGGTGTGCTGTAGGTGTATGCATTTCCTAGTCATAGTAAAAAAATGTAAGTCTATACCTATCTACGTTTATAATAGATAAGGATTTTCAATCAGGAAACGAGCGCGCGTTTGCTGTTCATGGCAGTGCGGTGGGTACGGTGTTTGGCGCCGTTCCAGGCGTTAGCCCCGAGCGATCAACTGGTCCTACTACGAGCAGCTTGGAAGGACTTATTCCTCTTACATTTGGCTCAGTGGTCTGCACCCTGGGACCTCGGGCCTTTGCTCGCTGCACCCGCCGCCAGGGCACGTTTACCCCTGGAACCGCTTGCGGACTTGGAGTTGAATACATTGCAGGTAGATAATCTATCGCTATTTATGTTTAAGTATTTAAGTATTTATTGTTATTTAAACAATTAATAAAAACCATTTATCAATTGCCACTCCTGATTAAATGTTTATAATAAGTAGGAAGGTTTATTAAAGATATAGACAGGTTTAAAAAATAAAAGGATTTTATGTCCTAAATAAAGGTAGATAATAATTTCATTTAAGTAAATATTTTATAAGAAAATTAATTGTTTAGTACTTAAAGTTTCACTTTACGTTTTATGAGGATCTCTGTAACACAGTGGTAAACACATTACTTCGCATAGGTTTCAACTATTTCTAACGACAAGTAACACGCTTGAATGACTTATTTCGGTATTATAACAGTGAAATATAAAGCTAGTGTAGTTACCTACTATCAATGGAGATATTCATATCACAAAAATCGACCACATGTTTGCTTCTTAAGTTATATAAAAAAATTATAAGTATACTTACCTTTCACACTTTTATAATTTCCAGGAAATATTATGTCGGTTTCGTCAAATAGCGCCTGATGGCAGCGAATGCGGCTGTATGAAAGCAATTGTACTTTTTTCTCCAGGTAAAAAATATACTTATGTATAGGTACATATCTACTTAAGTAATACAAAGTTTGTATCAAAAAAAATAGTAAGCAAATTAATTCTTTTGTGCCATTCTTACTAATCTTCTTCCTCTTTTTTTAGCAGTATTATAATAAAACAGAAACGGCACTTTACTAGTACATTAAATATTTTTCCAAAATTTTAATCGAGTTATATTTTAGTGTCAATATAAAACACCAAAACTTTTTTTATTATTGTCTGTCTGTATATGTTTGAATATAACATACAATATATAGATGGAATTGGATAGGACCTTTGTTAATTTGAAAATTTTTGTTTCTAGACACACCTGGACTTGGTGAAACACAACCCGTGGAAATGCTACAAGATCAGGCGCAATGCATCTTGGCCGATTATGTACGAACTAGATACACAAGACAGCCTACGAGGTAACAACAGAGAGTATATACAGTCTACTTAAGAAAAATAGAATCTTACAAAATTTTAAATAAATTCCATATACTATATGCCAGACAAATTCTTCTCATTATAATATTAATGGTATAATACGTAGTTCAAATTCAGATGAAGTCATAATGATGACATGACCTATTTTCATCCTCACCCATCATCCCTTACTATCAGTATAGGACCATCTACCAGTATGATGACTGATGGCGCGGTTAATACTCCATTTTTATCAAAAAAAAAAAAACTAGAAACCAGGGGAAAAGAATTGTTAGTAATGGGATCTATCAATCTCATTGCTAGTAATATCAGATCGACCTCCGCTTGGTTTCCCCTGTACCTAAACCATCTTGGTTAATTCCTCTGCAATTCGCCATGATGGGCTGATTTGCTTTCATGTTCCTCTATCATCCCTCACCGGTACCCCGCCAGAGTTTAACGATAGTGCAAGCGTGGTTACAATTTCATTATCAGTCATTTCAAATTCAGGTAACATAAGTACTGTAGTATTTTATTGGTTTTCAAAACCTCTAGAAACTATCCTGGTTAATTTGTAATGGATTCGTCACGAAATTTATCATAGGTAAATTTTGTATAAAAGTCATCTGCTTGGGTACCTCTGACCCATTCGTGTTTCTGTCGTGAAGCATTTGTTTACATGATTGCGTTTTGGTTTGACGAGTGGGATGGGAAATTGTGGGAAATTACAAGGCGACATAACAGCTTAGCCTTCAGGATTGGAAACGCATGATCATATACGTCACAGTACACTCTGTGGTGTACATGGTACTATTCATGTCTATAGGCGACGATTACCACTTTCCATCAGGTGGGCCTTCAGCTTGATTGACATTCTAGATCACATAAAAAAGAAGAAATTAAGACGGGCCCAAATAACCTATTTACATTGTCACCTATCTTCACTGGACTCTAACCAGTATATACCGATATGATTATGACGGGTTATAATTTCAATATGGCCTTTTTAAAAATATACCTAGATATAATAACAAGTTGCCTACACGATTCATTTGCAGATTTGGTCGTTTGCTTCTATTACTGCCTTCGCTGCGAGCAGTTCGCGCTCGTTCAATCGAGCTTCTACTGTTCCGGGATACTGTTGGCGACGTATCCGTGGCTACATTATTGCATGACATGTACCGTATGCAGCCCGTGCCAGTCTCCGCACCCGGATTCCATCCACCACCGCCGACAACTGAACACTGCGCTTCTCCTTAAATCGTTCCTATAAGATAGCACGCGTATAGTTCACGACAGATCGAGTTGACAATCGATAAGCTTGGAATAGTATATAGAAATAACTAAGTGGTTCAAATATAAATTCATTGATTCTAAAAATAACCGTGCGATTATAAAAACCATGGGATGTCGATGCGCGTCGTTAGTTATATAATTAGATAGAGAACTGTTTTACATTGTGCAATCAAGTTGAAAAATTAAAAGTCCTTTGAACTAAAAATCTGTCGTGATCAGAATTGCACATTAGAAAATAACTACACAATTAGACCGCTACAAATGAATCTGTTTTTTGCATAAAAAACGTCTCGTTTAGATATTTTCGGTTGGTCTTTTGTATAATTAAAATAATACAATTCATATTTGCAATACTTCTAATTGATAATGTTTTCTGTGAATCAATAAAATAGATCTAATTTAAGATCTATCAGATTTCTCATATTAGTTTTCCCAGTACTACGAAAGGACTACGAAAGTTAAAAAGCCTGCTTCGTATGATTACTAATAAAATTATTTGGTTATAACTCATAGATAAAAGTATACTAGTTCGATAATATTACGCTCTCTACGCAATATACATATTAAATCCGACAGGATTACTATATTGATTTTTTTTATTATGATTTCTACAAAACTTTCTAGGTAACTGGTGTGATTAACATGCATGTTGTTTGTGCATACAAATGGATATCACCAACTGAATAAGTAGATTTGTTGCAATTTTCTTACATATATGATATTATACTATAAATATCATTATATAATGATATTTTCAGACATTTAACAGGTAGAATAATGATTGTACCTTATTCATTAATCTAGTCTAATCCTCTAGTCTTTGCAAGAATATCTGTAAAATTGTATAGTTAAAATTTAAGTATAAAATATTATAATTCTTAAAGTAAGGTTAGTCAGGTCCACTGTATGTTGTTACTATAATTATAAATTACCTATATTATATCTGTTCATACAAATTATCTTGAGAAATAAAAATATTGTACATAAAACATTTATGTTGAAAACAAAAATTATTGACTTTGTTCAGTAGTCACATGTCAGAAGCAAGATCTACAAGAACCAATTAAAACAATAATAATTAAATGCATATTTTATTTTTTACTATACTTAAAGAATCACTATTCAATATTACAAGTATACACTTGTGCTTCACGATTCATATCCACTAATAAAAAAGTGAAAAACATTTTGTACATAAATTCTGTATAATTTAATCCGCCACATTAACTTTCCCAATAGACTGTATTGCTTCCACTGTAGAGAGATCAACAGAATCATCCTCCTGAGCAGTTTCTATCGACTGTGGTACTACTGTCTCTTTCTTTGGCTCTGCCCTTGGAAAATCTAGCTTACTCCAAGCACCTGGTTCTGCTTTTTTCAACTTGATCTCAACTTTTGTGCCTAACATTGAAGCAGTACTTCTCGTCACATCTACCACCTATAAAATTATGATTAAAATATTGTAAGTTACAACATATCTTAAGTTTTATCAGAGTAAAACTTTGGGCACACGCCATCTTAGATCTTATCATCACTTACCATCAAGTAATGTAATATGCACAATCTAATTTTGACATTGAAAAAAAAAAAAAACTATTTTAACTATCAGTAGTGAAATTATTTTTCTATAGTTAGTATATAGAGTACAGGTTCATGTCTATACTAAATATACAATACATATACAGTATCTTTGTAAGATTATGGTATTTATTTATGATGATGTAATGTGAGTAAGATTACAACATAACCATTCCTTTTGATTCCCAGGATGATGTAAGATACGACTAAGGGAAGAAAGAACAATAAACTATACCTAAATTAAACCACCTTCCACCCGTAGACAAGTGATAAACAAATCTATTGATTAATGGTTTCATAACTTTATGCATATGAAAGAACAAGCCGACAGTTACAAAAGTCAAAAGCCATTTGCTTGGGTACCTCTGTCCCATTCGTGTTTCAACCGTGAAGCAGTTATGTTTGCATGGCTGTGTTTGAAGTGTGAGATATGGCAGTAAATTTACATGGTACAGAGGAATAACACCCTAGTCCTCAGGAATTGCAACACATGAGAGATATCATGGGCGAAACTGTATATTATTTTATGTCCATAGTATTGCTCATGTCTATAGTCGGATGGTTACCACTTTCCATCAGGTGGGCCATCAGCTTGTTTGTCATTCTAAGTTGCATAAAAAAAGTTATTGATGTTGTATGTCATGTACTTGGTAGCAATTACGCATGTCAGTATATATTAATAGATTTGTAATGGACAGAAAATAAAATAAGTTATATAATTTTCTAGTAAAGAGAGGCCTGTGCCCAGATATTAAAGGGTTGTTAAAGTTTACTTACACCTCTCAATTCGAGATCCAATTCAAATGTCGCATCACCTTCTTCTTTGAAGACAAGCTTTGTATTAAGTCGTATGGGATTCAATTTCACATAGCTCGTTGTTGGATCATATTTCTTGGCATAAACACTTACAATAACGTAGTCAGGTGTTTGATGCCAGTCCCAACGACATTTAACAGTACCAGCAGCGGGACCCTAAATTAGTAAGCAAAAATACAAAATTAGTAAATAATATTTTATAATAATATAGGAGTAATATAGTACATGGCAAGTGAAATTACAGAGTACAAAAACACTTTAACCCTTAGAAATAACAATGCATGACCTAGTTCATCAAAGTGTATAATGATTACTACTTACAGCATATTTACTATTACAAAGTTCATAAAAAAAATATAAAATTAAATAGATAAAACAAACATTATTAATACAATAACAATAGTCTGTACCTCTTTAGTCCACTTGTGGAAACCTGTCGTACATCCAGGTTGACTTAGGAAAGTATTAAAGTCAGTTGTTCTTTTCTGACAACACGACCAGAACTTGAGACCCTCATGGAATACTGGACACCCTGGATGATACGTACACACCAACTCGTTAGTTTGTTGACCTTCATATGAGACATTACAACCACCATTCTTACATGTTGTACCGATGGTAATATCCCTATAAATAAAAAATCTTAATAATACTATACTACAGTACAGAAAGATCAATAAAAAATTATTATAAAATAGTCATAGCGTCAGATTAGATTTTATACTATAATAAATTTACTAAACACGAAAAATAATCTAGCTTTGTTTATATTCATGCTACATCCCTTATAGTATGGATAGAGAGAAGTAGAAAGTTTGAAAGATAGCCTTTAACACTTAGTATGTAATGTACAATGGCCCAAATGTGGCTAAAACAAAAAATAGGAGTCCAATTTATATCACAATAGCTTTTACTCATGATTTCGTTTGCAAAACCAAGATATGTTCACTGACCAGAGTAAAAAGTAGCCTATAACTTTTTCCATTACATAGTGTGTATATAGTATATAAAGGTGCTAACAAGTAAAAAAACAAACTCACTTTCTCATTTATAATATTAATAAGGATTACAAGATATGTAATGTAATCATTGGCATATTTAAGGCTATTTTCTAAAAGTGCCTGGGCCCCTTAAAACAGGTGCATATGTATCACAACTTGCTTTGCTTCTTTAAAAAAATACAAGCATGGGAATAGTTACTATTTATTATAGTACATACCCATCATCAGCTGTATTTACTTTTTGAACTGTTTTTTGAACCATTGCCTTGAGTGAATCAGCAATTTGTGCTTCTAACTGCACAAGGGGACTCTCAAATGGAGGCCTTGGTATTTGAGGTGTTTGTATTGGAGCCCTCATCTCTATCACTTCCTTTTGCTCTAAATCTTTATCTAGACCCTTTTTCTCCGGTTCTGGTGGTTTCTACAAAAATATTTTATAATATTAATGAAAATTATATGATAAGGAAAAGGAACCAGGACCATTAGGATGTTGATGTTGAAAACTGTTGGCACTAGCTAGAATATACAATTCAGATTTATAAGTGATAACACTTATACAAGATCAAACATTTATAACCTATGAAACTTGGAAATTTCATGGAAATATTCGAAATGGTCTCTCTTATAAAGATACAGGATTAAGTTGTGATATTAAATAAATAGTTTGGTAAGAAAAATTAAAATATGCCCATTTATATTAAGAATACAAGAATATTTATGTTATATAATAATAAATAAAATCCCATGTTTAATTAAACTAAGGACACTGTTCATTTTATGAACTCATTATTATCTTCTCATCTCTTGAAAAAATAATAGATACTAACCACATTCGAATGCTTAGATACTGTACAACCTTTTATGTTCAAAAATTCAGTGAAATCAACACTTTTCTTATTGCAACATGACCATCCTTTATAGGCGTCATGGAAGACAGGAGCTCCAGGGTGGTGGCGACATTCATCTGAAAGTCACATTATAATGATAGGCAATGCTGTTCATTATCACTAAATTAAATATATTCTAATAAAATTCCACCTTCAATTTAAAATCACTTTGTCCTTGCATACACCCAAACTTACAATCCAGCTATTTTAATATATAAAAACTCCATGACATATCATCATAGTCATAGAATACTGACAGATCTTTATATGTAATCTTTGTCAGATCCATCAGTATTCTACGACTATGATGATATATTTGTTCATGCTGATCTCCCAAAGAGCTCAACAATTTTAATCAAATTTTGGAAATGTATATTGTTTACTCCTACTTAAAACATAGTTATTATCCCAATGAGGAAAATGGTCCTAGTAGAGAACAAAACAATGTTTGCAGGGTCAGCTTATATATTATGAAAATACCTGTCTTCACTTTGGAGTGTGAAATAAAATAGGTACCTACATTATACCTTTAATTTAAATCTAGTATGGTTTAAATCTAGATTTATTATACACTTAAATCAATAATAGAACTAAAGTTGGTCAATATATATCCTTATGTGGCTCAGCCTAGTGGCTTAGTCTTAGTGGATAAAATTTTGTTTCTCTTTTAATTATAATATTACGTTCATAATTGACATTCATTTATTTATTACACATGAATGCCTACAGATAATATGTGAACAAAACTATGGCCTTTCTAAGACATGTTGCAGAGTATAAAAAAAATATGTCTATATAGTATAAATGTACTATTAGATAATATTTAATACTGGAAAATTAATATAATTAAATAAATTATAATGCTGCTTATTGTTATAGCACAGTAGGTATAGCTTTCAATCCTTTCACTGTATTAAATATAATTACATAGGTGTATAATGGTAATAAGTAAGGTTTTTTACTTCATGTATATTGATATTATAGAAATGTATATAAAAAATTAAATTACAATAATAATGGTTACTATAACACAACAATAAGAATGGTCAGAAAATCGTATCAGATACGGTTACCGATTGTTTAATGTTTCAAACCCTTTTTGTTACATTTATATAAAATTAATGTAATTTAATTCATAATTATTACAATAGAAAGTAAGATGCTTAAAATAATTGTAATTATATATGTAAATATAATTGTAAATTGTGATATATGAAAAATCTAGAAAATTCCAACCTTTATCGTTTTTAGAAGGATCAAAAAGTTGGCCACAACCACGATTATAACATTGTAGTAAATCTTTATTTTCAGGCATTGTAAAATATTCTTCAGAATCGCCAAATGTGATTTCAAAGAAACAAATAAATTGTCATTAAAATATTTTTAACTTAATCCAGACGACAAAGAAGTGAGGAAGACTTTTTAAATTGACAACATAGACTTAAGCACAGATAAGAGAAACTATGTCTAAAGACAGATAGAAATCACAGATTAGACAGACTATGTCCAAAGGCATAACCACAGACAACCGATGTGCGATCTTATTAATACGATTACTAATATTATTACAATTATTAATTCGTCTAAGCACTTTATATGAATTTTAGAAATGTATTTTGGAATCATTCCACTATGAATTTTATACAGTCACTATAATGCTTTTTCTAATCGCTAAAATCATCTATTAGTAGTTCTAGAGCCAGTCGAAATTAACGAGTCGAAACCGACAATCATTCACTCGATTGACAAAATTATTTTGTTAATGATCAATAGTGTTATCAATGTAATATATTTAGCAAAAATTTGCAACTTACTTCTAATACTTATAAGATATCAAAATGAGCATGAAGTAAATTAATTATTGTTTAGATTTTTATAAAATGTTTGTGTAACCATTATTGAACACATTTTAGTTTGATCGTCTATCCACTACTATTTTTAAAAGAAGGACATTTACAACAAGGTTATTTGTATTATTAGTAGTTTAGATGAAATTACTGATTAAGAAAATTACTCGAATACGAATATCAGTGTATTACTTATTTAATAGACAAATTATAAAATTAGTGTTTACTAATAATTTGAATAATGAAATCATTCAGATTCGCGCACCGCTACCATAGGCCACCAAGAAAGAATCACTATATTGCAAGAAATACCTTTTCGAAGTAACAACACAATAAACGAATGAAACAATGGATACTCATAGTATTGTGTCACTATTTTTATATGCCTCTATCCAAAATATCGATATCGATTATAAACATGAAAAGCCCAGTTATTTCATAATATAAAATATTTAATTAATTACGGTGTTTCACAGACCACATCGAAGTGTCAACTGAACAAGGAAAAACGAACTGTCTCTTACCTCAACTCCAGATAACTTAAACACATGTATTCCAAAGAAGCAGAAGCTCATGAGGTATATTAAAGAAATGGAGAAACGTTTGTTTTACGAAAGCTAACGTATTAGCTAGCGAAAAAAATGCTAAAGCTCACAATTACAACCACTATAAAAAAAATAACTGACGTAAATAAGTTAAAAGGATTCCTGAAGCGTCACATGGATTTATCTATCCAAATACCAAAAACTACGTTGGCAAATTGAGCAATTAGCCACACATTATATAGCTTGTGCTGGTTTTGACGATATATCATTGCATACCGTTAATGGCAAATGTAGGTACAATTCCATCTAAATTTATTAAAAAAGAAAACATTAGCCACCTCTTATATTTAGATATCTATGATTATTACTTTATAATCAATTAAAATACAATACCTTCAAATCGGTCAACTGATTTAATCGCTAGCAAAGCATGTTTAACATAGACAATCAGAAACATTGAAAATTGACAGATAATAACGACGTAGCCACACTTCAGTAAATTAAAGTTAAGAAGTTTCTTAATTAGTTAATATTTTTTTTTATCTACTTAATTTCACGTGGTTTTTAGAAAAATAGGCGAAGAAAAAGGATGTCATAGAACTACTATAAGCATATGCATTATGAAATAGGAATAGAAAAACGTCATTGAGCAAATACTCATTAGCAACGTATAATAATGGCATAGTTATTTAATTTGAATAGATTATGTAAATATAATGCTATGTATAAAAAAACACTAAATTTTTATTAACCTTAATACTACTAGTATTAAACTAAAGATATTCTTTCCCGGTCAACTTGATTATATTTTTCAACGCATTCATTAAATATTGTTACTACAAATAGTTTTACTACATTTTAATTCGATTCTTATCTGATTATATCGATAATCTATTCGATTATCCATAATTCGGTTAATTATAATCGATTACGCCATCACTGGGAATATCGGACGAACAAACGGACAGAGAAGGACAGAGTTTTATGTTTGTGTGGGCGTAATTTTATAGGACAAAATAATCCATAAATAAAGACAAAATAAAACACCTATCATCATTTAATTTTTTTAATAAAAATATATAATAATAAACCCAAAATGAAATATTTATTAATTATGTATTGCATTTTTAATGGAAATTGTGTGGATTGAAAATGTTGATGTGTTTATTAATACATTTTGGACTGTTTATTCTCTATCGATAGAACAATGGTGAAATATACAAACAGATATTTAGTGCCGGATTTTACATGATTTTCAATTAATATTAAATATCATTATTGAAAATGAATTTAATGCGCAAATTACGAGGGGCCTCCGCCTCGACTTCTGAAGCTACTGAGACATCCAGTTCATCATCTCACGTGCAGTTAGGCCTTATGCACCTCAAAAAGCTTTTTGCTGAGTACACGCATCCGCCACAACCCCTCACAGAAGTGGAAAAAGATGATAAACTGTACAATATGTTGCCACTCTTTTGCAAGGTAAATTATTTATAGGTTTTTTATTAGAACTGAGCATTTAGATATATTATGTTAAACATAAGACAAATATAGACAATAAATATTAAATTAATATTTTTAAGTATGTATATCATTAAAAATATATTGTAATTTTAATGCTCAATACAATTATATAGTTCATTAGTATCATGAACTTATATTAATTATATTTATACTTTCTATGGTGGTTTATATGGTGTGAATGATATTTTGGCAAACTTTAAAAAAAATGTATATGGTAAAATTTTTAGGTTCAAAGGTAAATTATATTTTAATTATACCTTTTCAGTTATTAGCGATTGGTTACCATATTATAATGCACAAAAAATATAGACAAAGTTTTATAAGAAATGTATTACTAAAGCAATTTCAAATTTGTTTTCTTGTGTTTATGCACAAAAATATTTAGTATAGACTACATAAAAAGATCTTAGAAAAATGTTAGATTTAAATAAAAAATGTTTCAAAAATCAGTTTCTTCTTATTATTATTATTATTATGTTTAAAAGAAGCATAGGCAGAGCATCATGATCTGTGAATAAAGAAAGAAAGCATCATTATGAAAATGCTTTAATTTTTTTCTTGTCTTCACTAATTATAATAATACTTCACTAATTACTTTTATAGAATAAATTTGAAATACTTGTATTTATTTGTAGTCAAAATCATTATAGATGGAATTTTATTTACCAATGAATATTTTGATTGATACTATTAAAGTGTACATTATATGTATTTATACTAATAACTAATAACCATAGTATATATGACATATATATTATGTTTACCATAGTAGTACATACCAGAGGGAGACTTTGTACAAAAGTTGATTGCTTGGGCCCCTCTGTCCCATTCGTGTTTCTACTGTTAAGCAGTTGTGTTTGCATGGCTGTGTTTCGGTTTGAAGGGTGGTATATGGCATGAATTTACAGGGTACAGAGGAATAACACCTGAGTCCTCAGGAATGGCAACACATGGCAGGTATCATGGGCGAAATAGTATACTCTGTTATATCCATGGTACTGCTCATGTCTATAGGCAATGGTTACCACTTTCCATCAGGTGGGCTGTCAGCTTGTTTACTATTCTAAGTTCTATAAAAAAAGAATATTACAGTTATTAGTATAAATAAATAATTGTACCATTGCCATACTTTGGTATTAAAGCTAAAATATGAATAACAAGTGAACAAACATTTGTAGTTTCTATAATTTGGACTACACGGGTCATGGTGTCGCCCACTATGTCAAATTAAATTTCTACATCATACTATCAATAGTAGGTGCCTCTGGTGCACAAATATGTCTAAAAATTCAAATAATTAATACATTTTACTGTAAATTTGTCATTGGTTAGAATCAGTTAAGGAAACTCAAGTTAAATTATCTTTTGCACTTGATTCTCCAAGTCTTCATTATAAAATCTCTCCCGATCTAAGGATTGTGAGCTTTGTTAATTTGCAGCTGGTCAATTTTAAAGCAAAAATGTCAACAAGTAATAGGCCAATTTGATGACATGTGGTTATCACAGCTCATTGCCAATGCATGCACCTTGCTGATCCTGAAAAAATCTTATATGACCCTCTTTGAAGAATCTTATATTAAATGTCATGTGTAAGGAAAACTCAGCAGAAAGATAATGAATTATCTGAGCGTTCAGGAAGAAAACTCTGAATGATGTGACTATTGAAATTTTAGGAATTGATGATTAGATTACTTGTTCATGGCTATAATTAAGAATTATTCTATGTTAGTAAGCATGTTCATCATATATATTGTCTGTTCAAGGAGTACACTACCTAATTATCTTAGCACTAGTTTTTACCTGTAATTTACAAAACTTTTATAAATTTTTATTAAATAAATAGGATATTTAAAAGTAAACTTTTTTGCAAGTAATACATTAAATAAGTAATTTACTATAACATAGTTTAAAAACAATTACATATTAATAAGTAATTTGTTAGCTCATTAATTTTTTGGGATGTTTATCTCTTAATTCTCCAAGCTGTATGTACCTGAATGTAATCCAGAATTTAATATTATGCAGGTTTTTGGGACTAGTCCATCAAGTGACATGAATGAAAAGTTTTGGGATATATTATCTTTCTGTCAGCAAGTGTCTAAACTTATGGTATCAGAGATAAGAAAAAGAGCAAGCAATCAAAGCACAGAGACAGCTAGCTGTGCTATTGCAAAATTTCTAGAAATTGAAAATTCTGAAGAATCAAGTAATGGTTGGATGCTACTCTCTACGTTGAATCTCTTGGCAGCTGGTGATCAATCATTAATTCAGGTAAGTTTAAATTTATAATGAAATCACCAATTCAATTGCGACAAAACCAGTTTTTTTATTTGAAAACTAAACTACTGAACTGATTTTGATAAGATTTCTATGGGACTAATCTGAAAGTTTCTAAATTGCTTTATAAATGATAGAGTTCTGAGATAAAAAAAAATACAACCAAATTGAGAATTTCCTGCTTTTTTTAAGTCGGTTGAAAATATTTTCAAATACTATTGCTAATATCTCATCAGGATGTCTATTAGAGTTTTTAATAAAAATCAAATTGGAATGCTAAGCATTGCAATATTATGGTATCATGTAAACTTATTGTTCCAGTATTGTTCCTAAAATAAAGTAATCCTTACTTTATTTTAGGTTCTTATTTATAGTTATTTATAACAATTAGTTGTTAAATAACTATTAGAAATTCTGACTGTATAAAACCAGATCATGGCCGTTTATGAGTTAGCCAATCTGTTTGTTTTCAGGTCATGACTACTGCATCAATACCTTCAACTTTAGTCAAATGTTTGTATCTGTTTTTTGACCTTCCGGAAATACCCGAATCAGAAGCAGATATTCAAGATGGCAATAGCGAATTTACTCCCAGAGAAAGAAGGATTTTATTGCAGAAAATATTTGTACAGGTAAAAGCTGTATTTAGTTTTTTTTTTCCATTTAGTGTATTGTTAAATCTTTAGTGTAAATACTTTACATTGACAATTTAAAAAGATTAATGTAAAGTGGCGAATTTACTCCATAGAACAGGGGTTGGTTGGTTATCTTAAGAGTTGGAAAAGTCAAAAATTACAATTTCAAAGAGCCACAAAAGCATTTCTTGCCAACAATAAATAGTACTTGTATAAATAAAGTTTGGTGCCTAATCCTTGTTAATCGATTCAAAAAGATTTTTTTTATTAAAATAAATCATATTTGCATATGGAACTAAAGAACCGCAGTTTCACATCCAAAGAGCCGCAGGTTGCCGACCCCAGAAGGGGAGAACTTAGTCTTATTATTATTTCAATCAAATAAACTTTACTAACAAAGTGACTATTCATGATCTTTTTTTGTTCATATATTGAATATGCTAGTTTTATGACTAAAATTCCATTAATTTTGATATAGTAATAATAAAATAAATAAATAAAAACTTATGTGCCCATATAGATGAAGAAAGTGGAGAGATATTAAATTAAAAATAACAGAAAGATACAGGTATATTTGATTATTGAGTAAATAGTCAGTTAATGACTTTCTTTTCTTAACTATCAAGTGCTATTCCTATATGTTTCCATAGAATTTAATGAAAATGTATACAAACAAATATAATTGCCCTATTTGTACCTTACAAATAAAAAACAATGTTTCGATTTGTTATTAATCTCATTTAAAGAATGTTTCAATGATAATTTGAACAAAAATTGGCTCCATTTATTTTTCATTATGTTTTACTGTAACAGATTATACAAAAAATATTACAATAGTGGCAATAAACATTATATCAGATTATGTCTTACTCATATCTTTGCGACTATAGCTTATACATTGTGTATACCTATGATAGAGATGATGATTTTTAAGACTGATTTTGATAATTATTGTTAGATAATGTAAATGGACCGTTCCTTGTGGCAATCTATAGGGAGGCCTATGTTCAGCAGTGGACAGATAATAGCTGTGATGATGATGACGATGATGACTGTAATGTTATGTACATGTATATACATGTACATAACATTACAGAGATATTAATCTTTAATAGGTGTTGGTGAGATTATGTAGTCATCCATTTCCCTGTGAAGAGTTGGCGAGGAAAGATGATTTGAGTTTGTTATTTTCTGCGATAACATCATGGTGTGCACCACATAATATAATGTGGCGGAAGTCGGCCGCTGAAGTGCTAATGACTCTCTCTAGGCATGGCTTAACACAGTCTGTGGTACAATATATTCATAGTAAGTATTTATCTATAAATTATTATAGTAGGTAGACCATATTTATATAAAATATAGTATTATTATTATATTTTTATTATCATAATAATTCAATAAATAGTGATATTTTCTTTATTTATTTTTTAGATAAAGGATGTGTCGGACTCTGCATAGAAAATATGCAAAAAATACCAGAGTTGACACCCTTGGAGGTAATTGATTGAAATATTGTTTGTTGTTATTCTGATATAGATTTAAATGTATAATTTTTATGGATACATTTTAATGGATTAAGTAAATAATATGTACCTACTTGCCATTGCAGGTGGTAGAAATGTTTGTAGCAGTTTTCTGCTTCTTAAAGGATTCCAGTGATGTTAGTCAATTATTACTAGACGATTTTCGTTCCTGTCAAGGATATTTATTTCTCTCCGAGTTCCTTTTGAAGTAAGTATTTCTGTGAATGTATATTTAATTAAATCTAAATTAGTTGTGCATGTATTATATAATTATGTTGTTTTATTTTCTTTTCTTTTTTTACTTTTATGTATTTTTTTTTTTATTTATCACAGACATGAAACCCAAGAAGTGCCCGATTATTTGACAGACGGGTAAGCACTTTTTATTGTATTTAGACATTAATCTTAAACATGTTTCATTACGCCGAGGAAAGTGTTTAACCCAATTAATAGTTAAATAATGATAATGTGCCAAGGTCGCACAATCACTGTTTTGTTGTTACCACTGTATATTTATTTTATTTTGTTTACAAGCACATTGAACAATGATAATTTAGTGCATGCTGCTTAGTATAATATTAGATAGATAGATAATGTATTTGTATTACTCTCAGCATTATTAATTTTATTAGTATTTTTAAGTCTTAACAATTATAGGGAGCCGAATCTCAGTCTTAATAAGAATAATATTCCCAATCATTCTAGACTGGATATACACACAATTCTTAAAAAAAAATATAAACTATTAATTCTAATACACAGAAAAAATATTAAGAGGAATAATCAAAATAGTCTATTAAGGCATTTTGTATATTAATTCCAACTATGTTCCTTAGGAAAGTTTGTTTTATGAATTACTGTAACTGTCTGTCGGTTTAATATATTTATTACTACTCATCCCATAAACAATGTTTACGTAATATTATGGTTAAATAATGCTGATGTAGGTTGGAAGAGGAGCGCGTGAGTGGTACTGAGGCGCGCGCGGCGCTGCGTAACTTGGTGTTGATGGTGTCGTCGCTGTGCGCGTGTGGATTCTCCGAGCTGCGACCCACGCGCGTGCCCACCGAACTGTTCCAGTTGCAGGGCTTCGTGCTGCCGCAGCCCACCACGCCCGGTCAGGCAGTCAGAAACGTGCAGGCTTTTCAGGTCACCTACCTTATCTATATATCTTGATGTATAAAAATTTCGTGTTCAGAACACTATGACACGAAGTTTACTCTAGTTTTCGAAATCGCTTAACGGAATTTATTGAAACTTAATAATTATATATTGTTCGCTTCAACTTAAGTGATAGTTTTTATTCCGATAAGAAAAAATTTACTTGTTAAATGGTAGTAGAGTGTAAAACGACGTTTATCGAGTCACTTAGTTGTTTAATACATATATGTTTACATAACATGCTGATGGATTATATTATATACATAATATTTACATAAAGTTAACTAACTATAACTTTAATGTTAGCAATCTTATATAATGAGGAAAAACAACGTCATTAAGATGAATTAAAATTAAAGTATTGAATCAATTATAATACCTAAAGGGATTTGATTGGAAAACGCAAAAATAAACTGTGCTCTATATTAACATAGAGTTGTTAAACAAAACATGAATTATCATTCTCAATAATTTTTATTACAGGTTTTACAGTCCGTATTTATAAAATCCAATTCGCCGGCCCTATGTTGCACAATATTGGATGCTATATCAAGTGTCTACCATGCAGATAATGCCAACTATTTCATACTTGAAAACCAGAACACGCTTAGTCAATTTTCAGAAGGTATTCACACTAAGAACGCGGAAATTCAAGAGAAATTCTTTGAACTTTTGGAGTTCATTGTATTTCAACTAAATTTTGTGCCATGCAAAGAGTTAATATCTCTGTCCCTTCTATTGAAAGCTAATAGATCGAGGAGTTGTAGCATATTATGTATGAAGACACTATTAAATATTTTAAAGTAAGTATAATTTGCGTTAATTGAAATATTTTTAGTGTTGAAAATTGTCTATAATTGATTTATTAATTTAATTCACAGACACAATGCTATATTCAAAGAAGTGTACAGAGAAGTTGGAATGCTTGAAGTATTTGTCACTTGTCTATCACGTTATGCAGTATTTTTGAAAGATAAACAAATATTAGAGGAAGAAAAAAATAAAACAGAATCGAGTGAAAGCAAACCAAATGAGTCGCCTAAAGCACCGGAAAGAAAAAAGAGATTATCTGCTAAACAGGATTCGTTGATAAAAGACCCTAGTATCGAAATTGAAGAAGAAGAATTAGGTTCATTGGTGATGGAGTGTTTAACAGCACTTCTGAATGGCAATTCAAATAATTGCAATGTATTTCGGGATTGTGGAGGTGCAAAATGCGTTCATGGGATGCTTGTGCATGAATCTTGCAGGAGTAAAGCATTAGGTATGTCAATCGATGTACGATGGTAGTTATGTTTATATTTAAACCAATATTAAAATAATTTAAAAATAAATATCATGTTTTTGCATACGTTTTCATACTTTTACATCATATACTAAAGTTAGAAGTTAAATATTCTTGTACGACAATTGTACGTAAAACTGTAATATATTAATTACGTGTTTTTGTCAACTAGGTGTGATTCGAGAGCTAATAGTGAGCGGATCGGGCGAGGAGGATATGGCGGCGCTACTATGCGGCATGCATGCGGCGCCCAATGATGCACTGCGGCTCAAACTGCACGTGCTTAAGGCGCTATTAGCATGTCTCAGGGACTCGCACCGTACTAGGACCATATTTCGAAAGGTTAAATTAGCTATATTTATATATTTAAGATCATATTTTCTGAAACAGTCTATTCAGAAGATTTAGCATGAGTTAAAAATAATACGACATGGTTTTGACGCATGCTGAATCTTATTATTGTGAACAATAACAAGTTTTTACTAATTATAAACATCAATATTTGGGTAATAAATTTTCCGATTGAGGTAATACTACATGCAGGCGTGCATTATCACTCATCACTAATGTAGACCAATTAACAACACGAATATACCTCTAATTAATTTTAACGCATGTTAAACGTTTTCAGGACACAACTGCAGTTACAACTGTAACTATATATGTATTGATATAAATTAAAAAGTATAACTTAATTTCAAATTCCTAACATATAAATTAGTATTTTAATATAATATTAGCTTTTTGCCTACTATTTTGTAAGCGTGGATTTATTTGGAGAAATAGGAAAAATAATAAAATAGACCACGATAAACGTACATCAGTTTTTAAGTGACACTTTCAGCAACACAACAGTGAAAACTGTATCCAATTTAGTGCAATAGTTTTTGCGTGATGTCGTAATAAACATTTAGAGGACAAAATGTCTAAAAATGATTGTTTTCGTTTAATATTGCTCTTATTAAGGACCCTTATTTCAATTTTTCTATAATATCCCTCATGTACAAACATAATCTAATTATAATTTTATTAATGGTTAACATTTTTTTAATATATCCTGTACTATAAACAAATTAAAACTTAATAACTATCGTTACGAAATAGTAAGAGACATTCGTCATCCACAGCTTATTAAGGGTATAAAAAATAATTATAAATATGCAAATAGAAATTGGTTATAGATAAAACTGGTTATTAAATAATTATATTTTATTAAATCAGGTCAGTGGCTTCGTATATGTAACAAGTGTTCTAGTCTCACTGGAAGGCAAATTGAAAGGAGATGAAATGATGGACCGCGATATGTTACAACTTATTCATATTGTATTTTATACAATCAGTACTGCAATGAGATTCGAGCCAGCCAATGCGAAATTTTTTCATCATGAGGTTTGTTTGTTTCAATTAAATATTATATTAATAATTTATTGAGACATTAAAAATATTCACTACTGTATTGTAATTATTTATTTATGTTGACTAATTTTGAACTCAGTATCTAAGGCCTTCTAATTGAATTCGTAATTAGTTTGCATCCCCGAATTAGAAACGTAAATAAACGAAAGCCAATATAAATAATTATAATATCCACCACCAAAATAATGGTAACAGATACGATTCATTCGCCTCATTTGTGATTACAGGCGTTTAAATATATTTTCATTTAAATATCTTCCTAAAATAATTAATAAATAAGCCTGTAAATGAAAATATAAGTATGCTAACATTAAAATCACTATCGTATCATGATAGTAAGGACCATTTGTTCCTTCTTACTAACCCAATAACCATAAGGAAACTTATTTGATTTTATACGGACAATAAACTTTTAAGATATGTATAGATAAATGATTGTGGCTTATGAATTTAATTCTATATTATTTTTTAACTCATTTTACAGATTTGTATGACAACTTTATGTGATACTATTCGGCTACTGGGATGTTTTACGCAAGATACAGAGTTACAGAATGACATTGAAGTGGGAGATATTGAACTATATGAAGTGTTTCATGAGATATTCACTGGAAATATATTAGAAATGACGTAAGATTTAAATTCATGTTGAATATTGTTGTTAATTCAATTCAAAGCAGGGAAGGATATTTGCAGTCTATTAGAAATAATATTTCTTCTTTTTTTATTACAAAAAGAAAAAAAGTTTAACAATTTCTTCATGTCCTACACATGTATTTCTTGTTATGACAACAAGCTACCTATCGTGAGTCCACTGCGAGCCCCATAAAAAGAAAATTATTCATTTGAATATTAATAAAATATTGTCGTTAATATACATAATTTATAGCAGTTCTTGTTGCCTAAAGTTTTTTTCAAACATTCATTTATAGTATTTTTATCTATTATCTATTTGTTACAAATAAAAGTACAAATATTTTTTTTTCTTTAAAAAATATTTAATTTATTTATTTTTTCAGTTTTCCAGAGAAAGTTCCAGTAGTGTTTGTTCATGCATGCATCGTATTACGATTACTGTACGATGTAGCGCTTGATTCATTTGACAAGCCTACCTTTTGTGGATCTTTGAATGTTAAATCGCCTAGTTTAACAAGGCAGAGTTCTGCTATTAATGAGGTAAATATTATTAAGCTATTGTAAGCTACAATGATTCATTTTACAAGTTGGAATGGTAAGCAAGCTAAAGGTCCATCTGATGGAAAGTGGCAATGGTAAACGTCGCCTAAAGACATGTTTTGTACCACGGACATCACAAAATATAAGTTAAATCTATATTATTCTTTATGCATTCTCATTCTAGAGAACTAACAAATCAATCTATCCACTAGTGGTATAAAAAGAAAAATATATTACCATCTATATTTTAAATAATCTATTATTTCAGTCAAAACCGGCGGGTCGTACTGCACCGTTGAACCTCACATCAGGGAGTGGGTCATCAGGAGAGGCGTGGGTGGTCCATTCTGGAGTCGTCATAGTACTCGCAAAATTGTTACCCGCCCTACCGCGTCCTCCTGAACACCAGGCGTACGCATGGGCTATAAGAGATTACCTCGCTCATGTACTGAAGAGTCTTGTACGGAGGTATTTATATACAGTAGATATTACCTTTCACACAGATTCCTAATCTTGTTTTTATGTTTAATTTCAAGATAACATAATAATAATTTTAAATACTTAAATATTTTTAAAAATTTTCGTAATATCTCGTTTTTATGATTAATTGTGAGTGAATTTGCATAAAGAGATATCACTTGTTGTGAGGAAAAATATTAATTAGCGTAGTTGTTTAAAACTATCTAGAAGGAGTCTCCTTCCGTGCCCTATTTGTGAAGAATGTTTGAAGCTTTGATTTCTTGTTCTTATATCTTGAAACGTCAATCATCGTGGAACGGAGCAATTTATATGTGATCTGTATGAAAGAATCATTCAGATTCATGTTATAATGTGTGCTAGCCCTTCTTTTGTCATGGGTGTCGTAAGAGATGATTAACACGATGAGCCCGGCGCCGAATTTGCTGTCCTTTCCGTTCAGCCGGCAGCCGGCGAGAGATACAATGTTGTATGCTACCGCCAAGACATTACTTTAGTACTAATGAAATAAGGAATTCTTTGTCGTGCTATTTTGGACGTTTTGGACGAAAGACAGCTACAAATATTACCAAAAAAGTTGTTACATATTGTAATATGTGTAAAGATAAACCGCATTTTTGTTTAGAATGTTTCAATAAATTTCATTAAAATTATATTTGATCACATTTCATTGAGACTAATTTTATTTTTAACTTTAATACTTTCGGTCCCACAAACCGACGCCAGCCAAACGAAAATTCTAGTGTCGGTCCCCAGGAACCGACGTTGGCCACACGGAAAATTCTAGTGCCGGTCCCCAGGAATCGACGCTGGCCACACGGAAAATTCTAGTGCCGGTCCCTAGGGACCGACGCTGGCCACATGGAAAGTTCGCTGTCGGTCCCTAGGGACCGGCGCCGGCCACACGGAAAGTTAAGGGAACTTAATAGCCTAATAATGGTGTGTGTGTGTGTGTGTGTGTGTTGCAGCGAGCGCAACCAGCAGGTGATGTGCGGCGCGGGGCTGGCGGGCGTGGTGCTGCGCGTGTGCGGCGCGGCGCTGCGCGGCGAGCGGCACGCGCTGCACGCGCCCGCCATGTACATGCTGGAGCGGCTCGCCGCGCACGCGCTGCGCCCCGCCGACCTCAGGTACTGCCACTACGGCAACCACGCGCACTACCTGACTATTTGCTAATCATTATTTAACATTTATCAACATTTATGAATATTTTAATGATAATATAGTAATACACTTTTTAATTGGATTACCAGGAGCCACACAATTTTTAATACAGATTATTACAATTATGTTACAATTATATTACAATAAACAGATTAATATAACAATACACACAAAAATCCAATTTACTTTTTTATATGTATTAGCCAGCATGTGAATCATAGTACAATGGTTCAAGGACTGGCAGTCTGAACGGTATTTGTTAAAAAGAAAACGATTTCAGTTGTAAAAAAAAGTAGTTATTTTGATTTAAAAACTACACTACCGAATCGAATTTATTAAAATTTCCATGGGACTAATTTGTAAGTTCCTGAAGTTATAAGGTTTTCATTGAAAATATGAATTTTGATGCAAAAATATATTTGAAAAATTCCAGAGCAAAATGTGAAGTACACTTATATACAATGTTTTCTATTATTAACGTATTAGTTTGGTAACTTTTTAATAATCAGTCAGAAACTGAAAAATGTTAAATTGTTTTTGAAACTTGGCTGATTGCAACAATTGCAACGTTGTCACATTTCGTTAATTAAAACTTATGCACGCTTCTAATTCGTATCTTTTGAACTTAAAATATTTATTTTAGGGAATTTCTACGCATGGGAAATCCATTGAACTGTGTCGCACCTGAACCTGGTCAAGTTTGGAAACCAGGAGGGCCAGTCCCTCTCACTAGAATCAAAACTTTGGTGTCCATGACTACACCGCGTGATTACAGGTTAGTACAATTTATTATATATATATATATATATATATATATATATATATATATATATATATATATATATATATAATTTTTTGTAATATTGGTACATTGAAAACTTTGTATTGTGATCTGATTATTTAATATGAAATTAATCATGTATTTGAATTAACAGATCTCAAAATTCGTGCACACTTCCACCATTTGTGGAGTTTGACATGTCAGCGGAGGGCTTTGGGTGCCTATACTTACCTAGTATTGCGCCACAGTCCGCTAATTTGAACGCACTTGGTACACAAGATAATTCTACTCTAGGAGGAATTGGATCAGGTGAATGAAATATATGTATTTTTTTTTAACATTTAATTCCGTCTTTTTTATATTTTACAAATAATTCAGGTTTATAATTTTATTACAAGTTTATTGTAGAGGTTTTTTTAAGTATTACAACTAAATTAAATAACCTATTTTCGTTTCCGAGTTCGTGTGTTATTTCAGTCAATTTGGTCAAGAATTTGTGGAATGCACATCTTTCCATATATTTTGTCACCTTATTTTGCATGAAATAATACTGTATTCTGTGATATCATTGGAGAATTTTAGGACTTTAAATTAATCATTTCAACTAATTATATTTAAATATGCCTTTCATTATTATTTTTTTATTTATATGAAAATGGGGTCGACATAAAATTATATAAAAAGAAAATTTTGTGTGATAAGGCGATCGAGTGTTCCCGCCCCAGACCGGACTGACGTACTCAACGTGGATATGTGTGGAGAAATATTCGGAGCCGCGCAGCGATCCGCACTGTGTACGACTGTTGACGCTCGTCAGGAACATCAACAATAGCCGCGACGAGCACCTGGTCTGTCTCGCGCTAGTGCTCTCTGCAAGGGACAAGGCTATCATTGTGTCTACGCAGGAGACACTCGTGCCGCATAGTGAGTACGACATTCCCTAACCACCACATAAATCGTTGTTTAATTAATGGATGCAAGTGGAATGGTAACTCGTGCACTGTTGGTTGACGCTGGAGCAGTTCCAGTGAGGGATGATAGGTGAGGAAGAAGACAATTGACCCGTTAATTATCCTATAGTAATAAATTCACCAGAAATTAAGAGTGAAGATCGACTTGATATTACTGATAGAATACCCTATATTTTTACTAGAATAAAATATTCTTATTCTTGAAGCCAGGTAAGGTTGACCAACCTTACCTGACTTCAAGAATAACTTAATTCCTGGTGAATTCATCATAATGGGCTTCATTATGATGAATTCACCAGGAATGAATTATGACTGTTTCCAAGAGAGATCGCATGGCGGTCGACGTGATTGGGTATGTTATGAATGGGACATTAATCCTCTTTAATACCAATGTCCCTGCCCTCCACATAACCGTTGATCACGTGCTACAGACGTGGGCGAATGGGAGCCGGAGGGATCGGGCGAGTGTGGTGCGCGCGTGTGGTGCCCCGACCTGCAGCACGAGGGCCAGTGGCACCACCTCGCGCTCGTCCTCAACCGCGCCGTGCTCAAGAACTCCTCCTTCTCGCTCTACCTCGACGGTTGGTAACATTAGCATTCACTCGTTGCTTTCTAATTTAACAGATATACATGAATTAGGCAATTTAGGCATATTTCATTGTAAATAGATAAATAAGACTGTGTCCTTTCGGAATTGATATTTGTCGTCAAGAATTAACCATAAATAAAAGTTGCTATTTATATAGTAGCCGATGTGATTGTATTACTCTATACGATATGGCTATTTTTGCCTCTCTCAAGTTAACCTAGCCTTCTCTCAGCGATTAGAATATGTTCACTCGGAAAAAAAACGTATAAAAGTAATCCATATAAATATTTTACCAGAGGGAGACTTTGTACAAAAGTCGTTTGCTTGGGTACCTCTGTCCCATTCGTGTTTCAACCGTGAAGCAGTTGTGCTTGCATGGCTGTGTTTCGGTTTGAAGGGTGAGATATGGCGTGAATTTACAGGGTACAGGGTACATAACACCTGACTCCTCGGGAATGGCGACGCATGGGGGTATCATGGGCGAAAGAGTATACTCTGTTATGTCCATGGTACTGCTCATGTCTATAGGCGACGGTTACCACTTTCCATCAGGTGGGCCGTCAGCTTGTTTGCCATTCTAAGTTGTATAAAAAAAATGGTGATTATAGGCTTAGATGATGGTGTTTTTGTATGAGCGTGCGTGGTGTTTTGTATGATACAGACACGCCCCGCTCGCTCTATTCGTTTTGTGTCTGCACACGCATAAATGTTTTCGTAACGTAGCCGTATTTTTAAATAGATAATTGTGGAGGGATTACAAGAGCGGTGGGCAGTGTTCATACTGTACAATGTGTGTATGTACCGTGTCGCAGGTCAGCATATGCACTCGGGCAAGCTGCACTACGTGAGCGCGAACCCGGGCGGCGGCGCGGCCACGCTGTCGGGCGCGTCGAGCGTGTACTGCGTGCTGGGCACGCCGCCGCAGTGGCGCCGCTACTCGCGCCTCGTCTGGCGCCAGGGGCCCGCGCTGCTTCTCGAGGACGTTAGTATACCACCTTTTATTATTTCAATAGCTCTGCTGGTGTAGTACTTTGCCAATCTCGCACTACTGATGATTCTGGTTACAATCCGAGTACAGTACATATATTTGTATACATGAGTGTAATAGTGATAATACATGAATCTATCTACAAAAATAAGTATGCCCATCAGTTATCTAGTACTTATTGTACAATTGAGCCTCCCATATTAAATTAAAATCTGAATCCTCCATCTTAGTATTTAGTTTTCGAATTTTTTATTTCGATTTATACCTAATATATTGAGTGGTAGATTTTTAGGTATAACTAAGGCAAATTCGTATCAATATTACTTATATTATTTACCTTAATGTTATTATTATTTACGTTAATATGCACAAAGACATTGGCTAATTAACTTAGATTTCACACTGTATAATGAATAATTTTTCCAGGTGTTGCCAGCACAAACAGTGTCAATAATATACCAGCTCGGACCACACTATGTGGGCACGTTACAAGCTCCAGTGCCTCCTGGACCTAATCAAGAGCCTTTAGCTCCTCTGGTTGCCGAAGAAAAAGTTGTATTCGGCATCAATGCCCGCGCTATGTCACAATTAACTCTTGCCAAAATCCGCAAAGTTTACAGCAAAAATGATAACAAAGCTATAGCAAAGCAACTGGGCATGTCCTCGCACGAGAATGCAACGCCAATAAGGATATTGCACAACTCTGCAGGACATCTGATGGGTCCGGCGAGATGTTTGGGCGGGACCGTAGTGGGTTATTTAGGTGTGAGAGTGTTCTGTTCCAAGCCTGCTGCAATCATGGTAAGTTATATAAATACATATATTTATGTTGTTTACAATATCAAGACTATATCTTTATTACGGTATATAAAAGAACTACTATCTGAAACATATTAAATGTATGTATTATTGTGTTTTAATATTCAATGATGCTATTTAAACCTCAGTTCTAACATAAATTCAGTATTGACTATGATTAAAATCTGGGTGAACTCTTCTCAAACTATTTATCTCTCCATCCATAGGTAGTGATCTGATTTAACGATAAAACCGCCCATTTTGTCTCTCCTTTGTTATATATTTTATAATTAGTAGCATTAAGATGGTATTGAGAGGTGAAGAAAGAGTAATATTATTTCACTTTCATTAATGTCTGATTGATATTTTTTTCTCAGATTGACACAGTTGGCGGTTGTTCAGTATTATTAGGTTTAATTGCAATGGCTCAAGATGTTGAGTGTTTATACGCGGGAGTGAAAGCTCTAGTGTGCGTTGTTCGCTCGAATAAGTCCGCTCAAGCTGAGATGGACCGCCGGAAAGGTTATCAAACTCTCGCAATGCTGCTTAAAAGGAAAAAGCAGTTGCTCAATTCGCATATATTGCATCTCATCTTTGGGCTGGTTGGCACTGTTGACAGTCAAAAGGAAACTTCGTCTATACCTAATTTGACTGCTTTTCAGGTAACATTAATGTTAACTACTCTCCAAGATTTAATATTTTTATGTTTAATTGATGTTTTATAATTATTTATATTGGTTACAGGACTTAATATGTGAATTAGATGTATGGCTAGGTGCACCAGGCGGATTAATAAAATCTCTATTAGAACATTTACTCGAGCTCGCAACAGAGACTGCGCATCGAACGCACAATCTTCGCACAATGAGGGACTTACAGCTAGTTTCCAAACTTCTTTATATTATTAACGACGTGAAAGTCGTCAGCACAAAGAATGTTCTAATTCAATTATTAGCAGCATTACTAGGGGGACAACCGCGACCAAACGATTTATTATGCCTTGGCCAATTCATGGCTTATACTCTGCCTCTTCCATCACAAACCGAAAAAGGTATCAATCCAAAAGAGAGTGATGATGAAAAAGAGAGTGAAGGTGAACAGATAATCTTGCGTAATAAGTGTTTTAATGTTTTACACGGTTTATTGTTTACCGCCCGTAACTTGGTAAATACGATAGTTTGTGAAGAAATATCACGGGTGCTAGGTATGGACTGGCTGCTCAGTTTTATGCAAGAAAATGTTCATCCGACTACAGTACTATGGGCTTTGAGAATACTTGTTATTTTGTGCTCGGGTCAGGGACAACAATCAGCTATACTGCAAAGGTAAATTTTATTATGTTTTATCATTATTATTAATATTATTTTAACATATTTTAACATTACCATTAATAGGCGGGCGCTCTTTAGAGCGTGCTGAGTATAAAATTGAAAAAAAAGCAAGTCATACAAAACTACTACCAGTGTATACATGAATAAGTATATCATTAACAAGGAAGGCGACTTGATCGCGAAAATGTATCATAGTCGCCTTGTGTGAAGTTGATGAAGTTTATAATTTATTGTATATTATTTCTGTAATATATTTATATTAGATCAGTATTGTAACGAGTATATTTATTTACCTACAAAACTAAAAAAATAATACAATCAGATTTCGCGAGGGTGTCGGCAACGGCGGATGGTTGCGGCACACGGAGGTGTCATCGTCACCGCAGCAGGCCGGTGTGATGCTCACTGCCACGCCGCACTCCAATTCGCACTTGCATACAGCGCTCTTGCACACCTCCGGTTTTGCTTTGCTCTCCTGGTAAGAGATCTACAAAATAATGTATCTATTTATTTAGTTACGAATCGGTTGTGGTATATGAAATGGTGTCTTCCTGATTAATTTTAGTTACTTTTCTTGTAGTTACGATAACTTATCATACTTAAAACTGGTGAATCAATTTGTAATGACAATTGACAAAGAAAAAATCCTAATTTATTGAAGATTTATAAGTACTTCAATGTTCAGTAAATTAGGTTTACTAGGTTTACCATATTGATGTACATAGGCCTCCCACATGCCAACCGTGGCAACTACTGGCAAAGTCAGTAGTTGCCATGTTTGGCAGGCGGGTTGACAACCGCAGTGACATTTTAAGAGGGATGCTGCTCTTACGACCCATACAGGAAAGGAAGGGGTAATCCATTCTATACTGAGACCACATGGCAGTAGGTTCTCTAACTATAATTTACTGTTATAGGATACTGCACAGTTTTATCATCACAACTTAATACTTTAGATATCATAGACGCGATGGCGTAAGGTCGTGACTATCCCGTGAATTTAAAAGTTCATTCACTCAATATATTTCGCTTATCACAATAATATTATAATAATAATTGTGTGTGATACAGTAAAGGATAACATGTAAATAATGTTACTACGTCTTGCTCTGCTATATCCGAAGCTAGGTAACGTGTTGGGGTTGTTTGTTGACGGCAGGCTGGTACTGGCGCACATACAAATCCCGGAGCTGTACTACTTGCTGTTCGGGTTGACGCTGGGCCAGCCGATGCGGCACGTGCGCTGCGAGCGCGGCGTGTCGGTGGAGCGCGTGTGGGCGGCGGCGTGGGGCGCGGCGGCCCCCGCGCGGCAGTCGTCGGCCGCGCTGGCGGCGCGCATCTCGCTGTGCCCGGAGGCCGTGGGCGTGCTGCTGGCCGCCGTGCGCGCGCTCGTGCACACCGACCCGCCCGCGCTGCCCCACTGGCTCGCAGACCATCCCGTCGCTATTGTGCAGGTTCGCTTTTTTTTTCTATACAACTTAGAATGGCAAACAAGCTGACGGCCCACCTGATGGAAAGTGGTAACCGTCGCCTATAGACATGAGCAGTACCATGGACATAACAGAGTATACTGTTTCGCCCATGATACCCCCCATGCGTTGCCATTCCTGAGGACTCAGGTGTTATTCCTCTGTACCCTGTAAATTTACGCCATATTCCACCCTTCAAACTGAAACACAGCCATGCAAACACAACTGCTTCACGGTTGAAACAATAATGGGAATGAGGGACCCAAGCAATCAACTTTTGTACAAAGTCTCCCTCTGGTGATTTGTAGTATGCGATATATAACTGGTAACAGATTTCGTTAATTATCAAAACAGCCCTTTTACTACGGCTTCGCCTGCGCAAATCGTTGTTACCTATCTATAGTGTATAGTGTAAGTACTCTTGGGGAAAATTTTCTAGATCCTCTGATTTTGGCTGTATTGTCTGTTAATCGGTTAATAAACTAAGTCGATCAAGTGTCACCATAATTCAAATGAGTTTAAAAAAGATCTCAGTGATATAGTCAAAGTCAGTACGTTTTTATTATGCAACTTAGCATAACTGACGGAAAGTGGTAAAACACCTGATAGAAAGTGGTAAAAATCGCCTATACACATGAACAGCCTCACGGAGTATGTAATGCTCATGAATCCCTTCATGCCTTGCTATTCCTGAGGACTATGGTGATATGCCTCTATACCTTGCAATTTCACTGCTATATCCCACTCTTCATACTGAAACATCAATGCAAGCAAGTATGATTTACGATAGAAACATTAATGGGGCAGTTATCAAAGCGGACAATTTTTCTAGTCTCCTAGTAGTAACCTTTCTGCTAGTCCATAAAAAATTCGAGCAACGAAATAATGAATTTGAGTTTCTTCCCATTCCCAAATGCACACCATTATTATTTTTGTAATATTAAAAATACTCGCTTTGTTCACGTACAGAATCAAATTGATAATATTAACCCTGTTTTGGTTGATTTTCAGGTGTTATTTTCACTATACAACACATTACCTGACTTTGTCACCATCATGATGACTGCCGAAGTGCTGACTGCATTGGCTTCCATACTGTTTCCGCCAAACACCCCTGATGATATACACATGCGTAAGTAAAACTCATTAGATGCGCGACAATTTGAATATGCTTGCATTTAATAAACTTATGTTAAGTAAATTAATTAATAATCTTTTAGTCTTTTAAAACATATTGTAACTAAACATGTGCGGATTTTATATATAGTGATAATTTAGTACCTGGTTCAATGTGTGGGTATCGACAGTTAAGCGTGTACGTAGCTAACTACAAGTACACGATCGGGAGCGTCGATATCTGTTCTCTTGAATCGAATAACCAGTTTCTTTAGATAAGTGGTAAAGTTCTAGAAGTTAAACTATCCATACAGCAGCGATAACATATGCATCGATATATTCGTATGCCACTTGCTTATTAAATAAAATGAAAATAATCAATAGTTTATGAGAATGAGTTTCTCAAAACATTTATGTCGAAAATATTATTGTAGCCATTTGCGAAAGTGGCGAGAGTTCAGGCGCATCGACTCCCGGCTCTGAGAAAGAGATAGTTATAATGGGCAACTCTGCTGCGCTGACCCAGCACCCTGTCCGGCAAGGCGTCATGGATTTCTTGAAAGTAATCGTTCTCGATTCTCTATCACTCAATGTATCCGGGAAAGCTGCGCCTGTAAGTATTACATGTTTTTATATATTGTGGCCAATTTATTAATCTCTTTAACATTAAAATTGAATAAATAACATTAATTTAATAAATTAAATACAAAATTAACATAAATTTTGTGTTACTCAATTGATAGCACGCATCCATTATAAATAAATGAATCATTATATTACATCAAATATTCAAAGCAAAATGTTATTAAATATTGCCGTAAATATTACGAATTATAATGTCACACACACACACATGTATACACTGTTATACAAACAACATGCGCTACACTTATTTTTAGTGCATCTAATTTATTGTTGTAACATATAATATAAAGCATAAAAGGCATGAATATTTATATTTTTCATTTAATGCCCTAGAGAGAGTGTGCAATTAAACAACTATACAAAGAGACTAACATTGAAAGTCGGCTTGACCGTTGGTTCTAGAGCGCAGCACCATCTACTGACTCAGTGCCACCGTCAATGTTTTGTACGCCATGTAGCCCCTGCTCCACGCCAAGATCATTCTTTTATAGCGTAAATATGGCGATTTATTTTTCTTTTTATTTGCGCACACACTGCACTATAAAATTAAGCCTTTGATTGGTAACTGATTTATAACATGATTTACGATTTTATTTATATATTTTAAATTGAATATGTATTCATTGTGCATTATGTAAAGGGATATTATAATTGTAATCACAAAGCTGTCTAGCAAAAATTTATTATCAATCATTGGCTTGGTTTTATGCTTCATTTCCCACTTGATTCTAATATTTTTTTTCTTTTATTTTAGTTTCGTTGTTTATTATTTTCTTTAAGAAAATCAATCGTCGCCTTATACCTGCCTTGCTTTATCCAGAATATACACAATAATCTAGGTACATTAAACTACTTTAAACATAAGTATAACAGGAGTCATTATGGTACCATTAAAATCATCATATTGCATTCATAAAGCAAACATCCCACTTTATGCTATATTTATCCTACTTTTTTTCATATTCATCATTTTGTAAACATGATAAATCATTGTTTTTCCTAGAATTGTAGAGTTTGACATTATACCGAAAAGATGAAAGAGTTCTATTGTATTTATAAGTGATATAATTAGATATGTACTGTTACATATTGTCTGTATAATTATATGTGACTCGTACATTATTATTTTTTTACTAAAAGATTCTACGCAACGTATTGATGTAGTATTATTATTAGAATTCATTCTCAAATACTTAATGTTCAGTTCATTCGCATCAGTATAAATGGTAGCTTACTGATTGATATGTTTTAAAGATATAAATTCGAACTAATTATTTAAATTGCAAAATCAACAGACATAAAAAATTAAACCAAATAGTTTCAATTTCAAATTTTATACTGGTGTTTATCAATAGCCGGACATGCAATTTATATTATTGAATTCATTAGTGATTCCATCTAAACCATTAATTCTTAGATCATCAATCATCACAATATTCAACAATATGTGAATCAAGATCATTGTCATCTATTAAGATCAATATATACAATGTCACTTCATTAATTTTATTTTATTAAGTTTATTTTATTTATACAGTTTTATACATTGGGCTGTTACAGGTAATCGATCTTGTACTCGATGCTTCGCCAGCAAATTCTACAAGTCAACAACAGATTGAATACCAGACTGAAGTACTTACTACTTTAATGGAAAACTTATTGAATACGGAACTGTTTGGTTCCGAGTCTAATATATCGAATGTGTGTTATTTGGCTGCGAGATTGGTCGATAAACTTTGGCAAGGGCAGCTGTCACGAGATCCGCATGAGGTAGATATTAAAAATAAAATAAAAAAAAAAACTTAATTATTTAAATTCTAATATATTAAAAAATGTTTACAATAAAATATGTTTCAGGTGTTTGATTTTATTGTAAAATTAGTAACTCAAGCAAAAAAGAAGTCCTCGGTGATATCTCTAGAAGGATTACATCACTGTCTAAATAGGACAATATTGTTTTTACTGTCTCGGTCAACAGATTCTATAGCGGATCAGATGTCGGTACTTGAAGCGTTACACAAGCTAACCACCAATAGGTTTGTTGTTATCTATAAAAAATATATAACACTCAAAACACCTACATTTCCCCGAGCATATTGAAATCAAATCATGATTCCAATAGAGATTATGGTGTGAACATATTTATTTTATTTTTAAAAATATACAACCTCACTATATTATTATTAATATAAACACAAGCAAATAAATAAAATATATTAATTTATTAAAGGCACGTACTATCTGAAAACCTAAATTACCTAAATATACTTCACACCTAATATTACATTTTACAAGATGAATCAGCTATGTTATTTTATTAGTTTTTGGATGATTTTCAGTGATGGATTAACGGGGGGGAGGAGGCAAAAGCGGCCCGCCCTGGGCCTCTGGTCCCGGGGAGGCATCCAGTTTCTTCGTCATTTTCTATATTCTATGTATATTTATTAAAGTCTAATTTAAATTTCACTTGCATTTGCAAGATTTGAACTAAATAAACATAAACATATACATAAATGTGAACTGAATAAAAAACTTATAAAAATCAAGTTCTTAAATTGGAGGTCTCATTCAGCTTTGCCGTCTGGGCCTCTTATGGCCTTTGATGTTCCCCACCACTGATGATCTTTAAAGTATTATGCACGTTCTTAGGTTCTGATATTCAATAATAGTATTAGCAAAACAAAAAGAAATTGTACTTGTTAAAAATTTACAATTGCATCGTTTCCAGGTTACTTATTTTCGGTGCGGGCAATCATGAGCTGGAGTTTATTGGCTGTTTAACGTACTGCTTGATCCAATTGAGCGCGAACATGAAGATTGCATTAGATTCACACATGCGCACCACGTGGCATGTCAACCCCAGCGGAGACCTCGAATCTAGGGATGATAAACTCACCACACATCAAGGTACGATATCTGAGTATTTTATATATTCAAAGTTACTATTATTATTTAAATTAATTACTATGTTATTAGACATATATGACATTTGTGTTGAAGTTATTAATAAATAATAAAATATATTAAGAAATAAAAAAACTATTTAAAAATTACACTTCAAATTAAGCTGTACTATTAAAAAATATTATCAATATCCAATAAAAATTTAACCTTACTTCTCTATTTAAAGTACAATTTCTTCTAGGCATAATAAACACAAAGCTAATTGTAATTTTAAACATACCATAGTCCATCAACTCTGCCCGTGCTGTTCGTAGAGAGCCTGTGAGTTGTGCGTACGGCAAAGTATACCATTCACGTGGGCGTGGACCGTATAACGGGGAACTGTCTGTACCATATCTCGTATGCTTGTCACGCACGCACTAGTTTCGTAACGCGAGTCCTCGCTTGTCCCGGCGACAGGTCGCAACCTGATGGGCGGCGCGGCGCGGCGCGTGTGGGAGGAGCTGTACGCGTGCAAGAAGCCGGCCATCGAGGAGGTGTTCAAAGTGACGCTCGCGGCCGCCGCGCAGCACGCGCGCGCGCCCGACCTGGCCGCCGTGCGCGACCAGCTGCACGACCACGCGCACAGGCTCTGGCTTAACTACATCGAGGCCGAGCGGAAGGTACGTTTTTACCATATGCAATCGGAATAGGTGACCCCGCATGCACTCACGGCATACGCTGATGCGCCACCAATGAGGGATGGTAGTTAAGACTCTTAGATTATATAGATTTAGTATTTCCATATGTTTCGTTTTTTAATAATTGAAAATGGTCGCCGTTTTATTTGATACTTCAACATTATTTGTAAACAATACACATTATTATTTTTATTATAATAGAACATTTGTTTCTAATTTAAATTCAGAAATTGTCCTGATCTGGAAAATTTTAATTATTTGCCACACATGTGTCGGAAAAAACCGGGGCGGATCGCTAGTAACTAATAATGTTGTGCGCGGTGGTACTCAAAGTAGATTTGTCTCTGTCTTATGGTCCGCATATCGCGTCCAATTGGTTGTCTCTACAATAATATGTATTTAACGTCACAATAAAATAAAAGTGCAGAACGTGTGCTGTATTAAGACACTTTTAATTTTCTCTCCGCAATAAACATATATCTATGTAGTGTATAAAGATCTTTAACAATTCCTTCTTTTTATACAGGCGGTTTATCGAGTACCCTGGGAACTGCACAATCAGATACAATCTAAAATACAAAAGGTGACCGGGGGACTGACGCGCTTAGCGTCGAGAACGAAGGTGAAGAAAGAGGAATCGGCAAAGCAACGTCAGCACCCGCCACGGGATCACGCCCTCGCATACATGCAGGATCACGTGCAGTTGGTTAGGTAAATAAACTGCGATATTTTTTCAAATAACTTCATATAGACTGTGGCGTTCACGATAATACAAAGATATATTCATCAATAATCAAATTTACGAGAGTCAACATTTATATTATTATAGAATATAACATGTCGTCCATTGCATACTAAGTGTCAGTCGTAAATTACTTTAAAAGTGATTTTGTACTGTCTGTGTTCGGTATATTGCTGTATTGATTTTAAAAATAAGTAGTGAATGACAGTTACAATTTACATGGAATAAAGACGACGTGGTATCACTGGAGCTAACTGGAAGCAGAGTTTAAAATCATGATTATTGGCGCGCCTGGAGAGAGGCTAATGGTCAGCAGTGGCTTGATAATGACTTCAGAATCAATGCAATACTGTTTTTATTTTATTTTTTTGATACTCATGAGATATATTGTACTAATAACATGGCATGATGTAGTATGATTTTACCCTTACTATACAAGTATTATATAGAATAGCAAAATGGCTACATTCGAGTGTATGGAGACTTTTTGAAATTTCCATATACATTCACGATATTGTACCGGAAAAAAGCGTCTCCATACAATATCTATTCTATACTTATAATAAATCTGTAGAGAGGTCAATTTTTACATGACATATATTTCCAATATAACTATCAGTGGTGTTTAGTGATCGATACTGATGCCAAAAATGCAATCAGTAAAATTTTTGTCTGTCTGTCTGTATGTTCGTTATAGAAACAAAAACTACTAGACGGATTTTAACGAAACTTGGTACAATTATTCTTCATACTCCTGGGCAGGTTATAGTATACTTTTCATCACGCTACGATCAATAGGAGCAGAGCAGTGAAGGGAAATGTTAAAAACGTCCACCCGAGCGACGTCGGGACGGGCCGCTAGTATATTTATAATCTTATTAAAATTGTAATATTTTATCGTAAACAACAAAAATGCCTACTGATAAGTACGAAAAGCGCAGCGGTGCAGTGAAGTGAAGAAGTTGAGTGAGCAGAGCGAGGCTCGGTCCGCAGGCAGGCGTGGTCGGGCGCGCTGCAGGCGGCGGGCGTGACGGCGGCGCACACGACGCGCTACGTGCAGGCGGAGTGGGCGGGCGCGTGGCGCGAGCTGACCCGCGAGAGGGCGCTGTGGGGCCCGCCGCGCGCCGCGCGCCTGCACAAGTGGCTGCTCGACTGCACCGAGGGGCCCTGCCGCATGCGCAAGATGCTGCGCCGCAACCACATGTTCTACTTGCACTACCCCTACCGCCCGCACCTCGACAACCCCGACAATGTTAGTCTAGTACTCTAGTCCCACCGCCGCTCACATGCGGTACACACTTACATTATATACATAGGAGTGTCTCCATACACGAACGGCTCAACTTTTTCATACAATTTTGTGTGATAAATATTTATATTTTTTTTTTCACCGCATAATAAAATTTCTGTTTAGTCAAAGGTTGACTGGGAGAGAATGCTATATAGTGTTAAGTCCGCCTTTTGTACCAGACATTGTTTTTGTAATGTGGTCAATAAAAAATAAATAAAATAAAAAATAAATTCCTTTATAACTTCTATATTTATTTTGTCTTATAAATTCTGTATCTTTTTAATGCGTAAACATTAATTTTATTTATAAAATAATACGTCAAGATGCATTTTATGCGTAAACATAGAGAATATTGATAAAAAAAAACGAATCAGTTAATTTGAAAATTAGCTGACAAAAAGTTGATCTGTTTTTAATGCTTGATGCTTTATCTATATAATCCAAGATTACCTATTACGTTCTATCTATACTACAGAGCCTGAACGACAAAGAAAAATGTCAAAATATATATTATAATCAAATTCATTAAAAGGTTCAGTTAAAAATTCAACTTTTTCATAAGTTAGACCACTGGTATATCCCTATGTTATTTTTATTCCTGTTTTCTAAAGCAACATTAATTTTTGTAATCACTTTGTAATCAATAATTATATATTTTTATTTTTCAGAAACAACTCAAGTACAAAGTGGCACAGAGTTTGGACAGTAAAGAATATTATAAGGTATATCAACAGTGGCGAACGTCCAGTAACAATTTGGGGGAGACAGACTTCATAGATCCTGCTGACTTGCAAACATATGAAGAGGAAGTCGCTAAGTTAGTATTGCTTTATATAACCATATCTAATGTTACCTTCATTTATTAAACTCCTTCAAACGAACTACACGTAGCGCGTATAGTTATATATGTAGTATTTGTAAGACAATATCTTATTTATATAAATAAAAATAAAAATACGCAAGAATAGCAATGCCTAACAAACTATTTTTGTTTTAAATATTCATAGAAATTCAAGTAAGATCTTTTAAAAAGAGAAATTAGAAAAAAAAAACATACGAGGTTTGTCCGGAAAGTACGTATAAAAGTTTTTTAAAAATTTTATTTTACAATTATTCAGGTAAATCAATTTTATCCCCTTCAAAGTACTCCCCCTGTGACATAATGCACTTGTGCCAACGCCGTTTCCACTGTGAGAAGGCTCCTTGAAAGTCCTCTGGTTGTAGGTTTCTCAGCTGCCCCGTCGTAGCTTTTTTATCTCATTTATGTCCCCCAAATGCCGCCCCCGAAGTACCAATTTGGTTTTTGGGAACAAGAAGAAGTCACACGGGGCCAAATCCGGCGAATAGGGGGTGTTCGGTCACCGTAATGGAATTTTTACTCAAAAACTCACGGACAACAAGAGAGGTGTGGGCAGGGGCATTGTCGTGGTGAAGAATCCAACGCCCCTCTCGCGCCAATTCTGGACGAACTCGTGCCACACGAGCTTTGAGGCGTCTGAGCACATCGACGTAGAATTTTCCATCAACTGTCTGGCCTGGAGGGACGAATTCTTGATGGACAATCCCCCGAACATCGAAAAAAACAATCAACATTGTCTTGACATTTGAGCGGGATTTTCTTGATTTTTTTGTTCGTGGTTCCCCGGATGTCTTATCGAATTAGATCGGCAAAAATTTCACGGCCATTCTTGCCGAGTTTCGAGAGAAACTTGATTACGACGCGCTGCTCTTCAACGGAAGCGGGCTCCATGCCGACGGGGTTTCGTTAAGAGGTAACTTCACAGATGGCGTGACAAGCCAGTTCGCACCGCACGGCGGTCAGACCAGAACTGAAGCATTGTTAGGGACATAAGGAAGGGGTCCTGCGCTTACCTGGCCTCCCCACTCCTCTTTCTCGCATTCCAGAACACTTTTATACGAACTTTCCGGACAGACCTCGTACAAAGACCATTTTCCTTTTTCCCATACAAACTGTTAGCTTTTGACAAAACTACGTGTATCGTGTCAACAATTAGTTAGATTTTTTTTTTATTTTGTTTCAGTAATAGAGACACATCTTTGGATGTGGTCAACGAGGGCGGTTCACCATCAGACCTGGTGAGCAGCGGCGTGGTGAGCCGTGGTGCGAACCAAACCTCTGGCGAAGGTATATTCAAAATATACCGTTAGCTTTATTATATAATTATTTTTAACTATTTTAAAGTAAAGGAGACTTAGTTTAATTTATAACATATATATGCTATATATATAAAAAAATCAACACTTGTAATTGTATATACGTAAATGCATAAATTTTAAGAAATATAAATCTTTAAAGATAAAAATTTACTATATATTTTAATTGCTAAGTAATTCGCTTCACTGAAAACGCACATAATTTCCGAATGTTGTGTATATTTTTGTATCTTTTCATCACAATCTTTATAAACAGTTATGACGTTTAACTGCTATGTACCATGGACTTTATTCTTTAATGCATATTTTTTTAGCAAATGAAGATGGACCTGACAATGAAGACGAGGATGAGCAACAACAACCTCCTCCAGACAATCAAACTCTACTGAGGTTACTTGAACATCATGAAAAGGTAATTTGAACGTAATCTTTCCTGATATTATTAACAAAAATTAATATATTTTACTTAAATAAGTTAGTTATTTTGTACTCGCGAAGAGGTGTTGCTAATTTTGATAAATTATTCTTTTATCCAAGTTTAAGTTGTTTATGCTATATTTATGTTAAACATTATTTCAGATTTCTCATATGTTCCGCTGTGCGAGAATACAAGGCCTAGACACTACAGAAGGTTTATTATTATTTGGCCGCGAACATTGTTACATCATTGATGGTTTTACTTTACTCAAAAATAGAGAGATTAGGGATTTGGACAGTTGCCCAGACGACTATGAACCAATACTTCCTAGTCAAGGTATCCAGAGAAGTAATCAGCGGCAATGCTCAAAATTTTTATACGAAGATATAAGGTGAGTTACATCTCATAAAATAAACACTTTTATTCACGCATGGAGTTAGCTAAGCCGTTGCATGTTGACCGATTGAGATCTTTTGTGCTTTCCCCTTCTTTATACTACCATTTTATAGATCTTATGGGTTACCATTGTGATATCTCGCGATTTAAGATGTCTCTAGTCCCCTTGCTCTGGATAATCCGTTCCCAGTAGACTCATACACATACTTGCCAATGAATCACAATTGCACATCCGTTGTTTCATGGATTCCAATTCCTCACTACACAATTTGCACAATGTGTCCAAGGATAGAACCCTTCTTATATAGTATATCCCTTATTAGCATATATTCAATTAAAACGCCCATTATGTGTCTTGCTTGTTATCTGCTACCACTGTAGTTGAGTTTATCCCATCTCTCAACCTTGTTGTTTAAGAACTTATAGTTATTGCTCTTGTGTCAAATTATATTTTTTTTTTTATATAATTAAATTTCTAAATATTTTTTATTGAACAGAGAAGTACACAAGAGGCGATATTTGTTGCAACCGATAGCACTGGAAGTATTTTCAAGTGATGGCAGAAATTACTTGCTTGCATTTCCTCGAAAAGTACGAACAAAGGTAAGATAGACTAAGTTGATGGTGGAGTTTTTAAGGTAAACTTTAGAATTTTTCATGTGAAATACTGTCTTATATGATGTAATCAATATTGAATATGAATGTCGATAGGCGTAAAAAGATTCAACCAAAGAATAGATGTATAAAATTTGTGAAAGATTATATTACGCTTAAAAAAAGGGGTGAGTATTGGCTGGATAAAGATCAAAAGAAAGATGTATGTATTTATTGTGAAAATATGTATTCCTATTTATTTATGTGTTATTTATATATATGTGTAGGTTTATAAATTTTTAAATTTATAAATTTACGTCTCCATTACTTTATATTGTATGTACAATTATTATTGTATTATAGGTATAGAATATATGTTTAATTTTAATTATGTATTATTAAGTATTTAGTTCCGTTTATTTACTTTAGTTGTACAATTTTTACCCTCGAACATTCTATAGTTTTCATTCAGCTTCTCAGAGGTTGACTGTAAAAGATTCCTCTATGAGATAAGTTGTATATTAAATCTTTTTAATGTGTACAATGTAAAGTATGTACAATAAAGAATTTACAATACAATATACTGCACGGGTCCCAATCCAATCCAATAGTTTCCAAGAGGTTCTTGTGAAATTTAACTTGACAGGTTATATCACTAATAATGTAATAATATTTTTCCTCCAGCCTATAACTGTATACTAGTGATTGAAATGTATAATATTGATGTACAGGTGTACAGCCGGTTTACGTCGCTGGCGACAGGCATGGCGGACAGCGCGGCGGGCTCGGTGGCGGGTCAGAAACGCGGCGTGGCCGTGGAGCAACCCGCCGGCCTGCTGGCCACGCTCATCGGCGACACCTCCGTCACGCAGCGCTGGCTCGTATGTTACTCTAGCAACATTTTATAACTTAACGCGACATATTTTACTAACGTAAATAAACTGCTAAAATCAACCCACCGCTGCTAATTAAACAACATTTATACTGAAATTTTATAATAAATGGCTCTTTTATAAAATACTGAAGAAAAAGAACATTGAAATATGAATTGCAGGTTTAACGTCAGAAAATTTTACATCAGCATCATTACTAAGTTTTAAATATAAATTAAAAACAGATTCGAAACATTCCGTAAATGACGAAAGCCCTATAATCAAGTTCAATAAAATATGACTAGATAAAAGTGACTTGAAATATTTGTGGTTTTTGAGGCAACCTTTTATCATTATAACATTGTAGTTTTAGGACAGCACAATTTGTGTTCCACTATAGTAGTCTATTCACAGTAGTAAAATATATAATCTCTGGCGGCTCAATATCTTATAATTTTACCGTCACGATATAGTGGTAGAACAAACTTACATGCATTTACATGCATACATTTTGAATTATCTGCAGATGTCTACAGCGTAACGAAATTGAGGATAAAATTTAAAAGCATTATCATGCATATATATTTTAATATTTGACAGTAAAAAGAAATATAATTAGTTTTGAGTTAGTTATAATCGCATTTAAATGAATATTTGTATTCTATTGAGAAATCAATGTCTTAAACCGTAACAATAAAACATTACATAAATATTTTATTTTTTTCTTGATTTGGTTCTACTTTAATATTGTCTTACTAAACAAAAAAGAATCTTTTTTATAATGTATTATGTAATGTAGTATTCTATTTTATATTGTATGAAATATTTAATTTTTGTTTTAGAGAGGCGAAATATCTAACTTCCAGTATTTGATGCACTTGAACACATTAGCCGGACGATCCTATAATGATTTGATGCAGTATCCAGTGTTTCCATGGATACTCGCCGATTATGACTCGCTAGATCTCGATCTCACGGACCCGGCCACTTTTCGTGACCTTACCAAACCTATGGGTGCTCAAAGTCCGGACAGATTGGAACAGTTCCGGAAAAGATATAAGGTAATTATTGAAATATATATACATATACATTCTTACATATTTTCAAACTTGTTACTTAATAATTTATAATATGGCTTCTATCCAATATAATAACTTTATTCTTTAGAAAATACCTTAATCATATATTGGTGGTATCGTTATACGTAATTTAAATTAGCATGTTAGTGGCAGCAAAACTTTCTAGATTTGAATCCGTTTGAAGGGTGGGATATGGTAGAAATTACAGGGTATAGAGGTAACTTAGACGTAACATAGAATAACTTCATAATCATCAGGAATGGCAATGCATGAGAAGAGTAGCATGGATATTACCATGTCTACTGTGATGTCTATGGTGTTGTTTATATGTAAAGGCGACGGTTACCGCTTTCGATCAGGTGGGACTTTAGCTTGTTATTATAAATATCATAAAAAGTTTAAAAAATCTATGTTTTTCGTAGGTACTTCTGTAAAACTTTTTTAAAAATAAAATTAAATGCATGCTGATGATTAATATTCATAAATTTATATATAATACGTCTGTTTAAATAGAAGAGAATGAAAATATAAACAAGTTTTCTTAAAAATATTACAAAACCACTAAATTAAATTAGTAACAGAAACATTCAAACAATAGATTTTTTATTTATACAACTGTTGGAAGTCAGCAGACTATCTTATGGTTGGGTCAATTACTCGTATATTTATATTTTTATTGTGTTGAAACACACTATAGTTAAATTTTCCTTTATATTTTTACAGTTTTTATTATTGTATTCATCTTTCAAAAAACTATATCCTCATAGCTTATCAAAACATAGTTAAATTGTCAACTGAGTACTGTTTATATTTCTTGATAGGAATGGGACGACCCACACGGGGAGACGCCTCCATATCATTACGGTACACACTACTCGTCCGCCATGATCGTGTGCTCGTACCTCGTGCGTATGGAACCATTTACGCAACACTTTCTACGGCTACAGGGCGGACACTTCGACCTCGCTGACAGGTAATCACTTTTATTATTACTAGTATCTTCATCATCATCATCAATCAGCTTTTAACTGTCCACTGTTGAACATAAGCTTCCCCTTTTTGGTTGCCAGTAGTTGCCACGCTTGGCAGGCAGATTGATACTTTTTAGGCAGTTAGGCTTTAGAGATGTTTTAAAAGGGACACTGCTACCCATCCCTCGCCCTCCCTAAGTCGGCTCTTACGACATCCACGGGATAGGAAGGGGTGGCCTATTCTATGCCAGGACCACACGGCCAAATTACTAGTATATAATTATCATTATTTTGATGTTTCTTTTTCCATTGCTGACTATGAATAAGAATGAATTGAAATCCAACTTCGTCCATCGACTGCCTACAATCATTATTATTATTTATAAATCATTGTTCCATTTATTGTCAGACACTCTATACTATGTCAGATATAATAGTACTGTATCTGGTAGCAAATTTTAAAATATTGCAAGTACTTTAATGCTGTTAATAAAAATTATTTATTACAAAAAAAAACCCTGCTAGAATAATAATTTTTTTTTTTTATTTATATTACCCAAAATAATTGTCATTGCATCTTTATGCAGCCATTGTCTTTAAAGTCTATAATTGATGCATAATAATTTATTACATTATTTGATTATTTTCTTTACAGAATGTTTCATTCGGTAAAAGAAGCATGGAACTCGGCATCGCGACATAACATGGCTGATGTTAAGGAATTAATACCGGAGTTCTTTTATTTACCCGAGTTTTTAGTCAATTCAAATAACTTTGATTTAGGTAAGTATTCTTTCATATATTATTAATATACTAAGATAGTTAATAGATTATTGAGATACATTCATATTGTATCTGAGAATGATAAGTACATTTATAAATATTATGTTAATAAATACTACTACATTGTGTAACATCAAGTTTTGTTTAAACATGTATAATAAATTCCAACTTGTTAACTAAAGGTTGGAATTATATCAACATGTTTTATATTATGATTTTTGTTTGTATAAATATTACGGTTTTCACCAAAACATGACATATGTTATATACGCAAACACGTTTCACGACATGTACTTTAATATAAAAGACGGTAAGACTATTTATTATTACTCAGGTTGTAAACAGTCTGGTGTAGCATTGGGCGATGTGGTACTACCGCCGTGGGCTCGCGGAGATCCGCGCGAGTTCATCCGTCTGCATCGCGCTGCTCTCGAGTCCGACTACGTGTCGCACCGCTTGCACCACTGGATCGACCTAGTATTCGGCTACAAGCAGCAGGGACAGCCTGCCGTCGATGCCTGCAACGTCTTCCATCACCTGTTTTATGAGGGCAACGTCGATATATACAAGTAAGTCGATGCAGGTGCAAGAGAAATGTTTGTGTAAATAAATCTGTTGCTGCTTTGAATTAACTCTCGATATATTATGAATTTGTAATTGTATACTCGTCATCCATTCATACAGTCATAAATTAATGTCAACGAAACTATGAAGATACTCTGAAAGTGGTATATGTATCAGTAAAGCCTGTTTACACTTAGCCATTTTGCCTACATATTTAGGAACATAAATAAATAAAATCTCAATAGAAGTAAATATCAAAACCTGCAATGGATAGTCCCGTTTTATTTTTGGATAAGTGTGCATATATTTATAAGCAAAAAAAAGCAAACACGCGAAGTGTTGGAATACTCTAACACGTAGTTAAAAATATTGATTTAGTAGGTAGAAATACAAAACAATGGTAAGCTATATTTAGTTCGACTTATACTCAGCGGTGACATCGAGACTGAGATGTAATGTGGAATATAAAAGTCTTTTAAAATAAATTTATTGCCGTCAAACCCATATTTACAATGCATTTATTGGGTTTTTAAATTTTATAATGTAATGTTTGTCTTACAGCATTGACGATCCGCTCAAGAAAAATGCTACTATTGGATTCATAAACAACTTTGGTCAAATACCAAAGCAGTTATTTAAGAAAGCACATCCTAGCAAAAAAATGTCGCAGCGGAGTTCGACCATTCTGGATCCTAACAATATTATACCATCACAAGGAATCACCCCACCAGAGAAGTTATTCTTCCACAATTTGGAGAACTTAAGACCTTCGTTACAGCCTGTTAAAGGTTAGACCATTTGATGTTATAATCCTCTTAATAGTCATATTGTAATACAGATAGATAGCATATATTATAATATTATTATATGATTTTTAATTATATCAAAATAGAAAAGGGAAATATCCGTAATGTAAGTTATGGCCGTATGGTTCTGGTTCCGGAATTGGCTACCCCTTGCTTTCCTGTGTGAGTCGTAAGAAGCGACTAAGGGAACCTAATGGTAGAGAGATGGGCAGTGTAGTGTCCCTTTTAAAACATTTCTAAAAGCCTAACTACGGTTAGTAACCCGCCTGCCAAGCGTGGCAACTACTGGCAAAACTCCGTTATGAGGAAGGCTAATGTTTAGCAGTAGACAGTTAACGCCTGAAATGACGACGATGATCAGTAATACAAGGGGCAGTTTATTAAAATAGAGGAGTCAATTGGTAAATATCTATTCTTAAATATTACAGAGGTAAAAGGTCCAGTCGGTCAAATTCTTTACACGGATAAAGCGATATTAGCAGTTGAACAAAACAAGGTGTTAATGCCACCATCATACAATAAGTACGTGGCCTGGGGCTTTGCGGACCACTCGCTCAGGATTGGCAATTACGACAACGATAAAGCCGTGTTTGTGTGCGAGACGGTGGCGCAAGCGTGCGGCGAGATAGTTACGTGCGTGTGTCCATCAGCTAAGACCATTGTCACCGCGGGTACTAGCACGGTGAGTTTGTTTCTTTATTTATAACAATATTTTTGTGATAATTTTTTTAGTGGGTGATAATGGAATGGTTAGTCTTGCCTACGCTAGTGGCGCTTGCGGGTATTAGTGAGAGATGATATGTGAGGATGAAAGCAGGTTAGTTGGCCTATTCTGAAAAATTCATAAAGAATTTACCAAGATGGTTTTCAGGGGGAACCGCGTGGAGGACGACCTGATAAGGTATATTTCTAGCAATGTGGTCATTAGTTTTCAGTACTAATAAACTCTTTTCCGTCCTTTTGTGGTAATAGAATGGTATAATATTTAGTTATATTGGTACAAGTTAATATTAATCTGTAAACGAACTACCAATAAATCCTCTGTGTGATTCTGAAGTAAAAATAGTTATTTGGATTTCCAAAAAATTACAATTGATAATTAAAAGAATGATAAAGAATGCAATGTAAACAAGTCCAATACAATGAAAACTCTAAATAAGATAACAATAAGCATGTTAACGAACGTTATGTGGCGGTAGGTGGTGACAGTGTGGCAGTACTGGGCACGGCGGCGTCGGCTGGCAGTGAAGGTGTGCCTGTACGGGCACGAGGAGGCGGTGACGTGCCTGGCGGCCAGCCCCGCCTACAACCTAGTAGTGAGCGGCAGCCGTGACGGCCAGGCTATAGTCTGGGATGTCGAGCGCGGCACCTTCATCAGACAGCTGCTACCGCCGGAATCGTACCCACTTCCGTATCCGCCCGTTTCTGCACTTGCTATCGATGATCTTACGGTATGTTGCATTACTTAATATATTTGATAATAATAAATCCCTTTCTTTTATTTTGATGTTCCTTCACAGTATTTGTACATTAAAAATTACGCTATTGATTAATGTGACATATATAATATATTTTTTTAAATCAATAAGTTTATTTATAGACTAAGAAAATGAATTTTTTAAAAATTTAATGATTAATAATGCAGTTTTAATTTTTCGCGGCGGGCGAGGTCTGTGTAGTTTAAAAAAATCGGGCTCGAGAATTTTTAAATCTGCTCAGACCTTTCTTTAAAATTTGGTGTAATTTTTTTGTTGTAGTGACAAATTTCTTTTATATTATAAGTCACATGATTATGCCAGGTGCTGGTGACATGCGTCCGCCACAAATATCCTTGTATTATAAATATACGGGTACAATATGTGCGTATGTGTATATGCAGGGCGACATCGCGACGTGCAGCGGCAGCACTGTGTTCGCGTGGTCCATCAACGGCGAGCTGGTGGGCGCGGCGGACACGGGCGGCGGCCGCGAGCGCTCGCACCAGGTGCTGTGCGTCGCCTTCAGCCAGACGCGCGAGTGGGACCCGCTCAACGTCATCGTCACCGGCTCCAGCGATGGCGTCGTCAGGGTAATGCAGCGTTCCGTTGAACATTCACACACCTATGTCATGCCAAATATTGTTATAAATCATAATAATGTAAAAATTATCTGTCAATGTGTTCGTTTATCTGATCCTAATGAAATTTTGTAAATGTGTATTGTTTCATCTGACTTGAGAGATAGTAGGATATTTTTTAAATCTATACAAATTCTAGAGTAGATGATGATGAGCGAAAAAGTGTTTGCCAAGTCAGTAAATAAACATTTATACATTCATAATAGAGAAACAAAACGGTTGCGGATGCGTGAAGATACTATTAATATTCCCGTTGATATCGTTTAGCGTATACTGCAAGACGATGTCATAGAAATTTACAGAAAATGGCTCTGAACTTGAATTTTCAAAAAAGCAAACGTTATCAAGTTGGCCTTGATACTTTGATGATTCTAGATAATAAATGTTGTCATTCTTTAGAAATATTCTCAGAATACGAGTAGATTCCATTACGTTGGGTAGCGTTTTTTAATGTTAATAAATGACCATTTTACTAGAGAAAATTCTGACAGATTTTCTGATGATATAATTATATTTCAGCCAGTCAGTATTAATAGACTCACTGATCTAATAAATAATTTAATTTCGTATTATTTCAATATGATCTATGCTTTATAAACAATTGTAATATTTTATTAATTCTATACTTGTCTATTATAATAAATTTTTTTTTTTTTTTAATTATTGCAGATGTGGTCAATAGATTATATAGCAGAAACAGTAGAAGATCAAAATGACAGCATAGAAGCTGTTAGTATAGAACCTGAACCTACTTCAATAGATATAGAAAAAGATCTAGATCAACAAAAGCTGTCTGTGCAAGACAGTGAAGACACTAAATCTGAATATGAAGCTAAATCGGAGAGTGAGACAAAAACTGAAGATATGGAACAAACTGACAGAGAGGCAGCTATCAAGCGAGTAGAAGAGCTAGTAAAACAAATGAGTTTATCTCATGAAAATGAAGGTAATAATCTTAAACTTTTTCTTGCTGTTTCTAATATTCAACAGGGTATCAGATACTGGTGATATTTGGAATTACTATATTAAAGTAGTGCCAAGTTTCACCAGTATTTTTCTGTTATTATTTATAAGTAAATTTCGTAACTATTGTTTATAATTTTTCTTAGGGAATCTCACAAAGTCGGGTTCTGAAAGTTCCTTATCTGACGCGTGTGAGACCACCAGTGCCAAAGAGTCTGCACGGCGACATGAAGAGAAAGACATTTGTAGTGATAATGAAGATGCTCATTATTCAGAAGAGAAGGACGATAATATAGACTCGTGCGACGAAGCCAAGCAAGAGTACGACAATGAAAAAGACTTAGAGATAGACCCAGATAGTATACATAGGAGTAAACTTCAAAAGCAAGGAAATGTTGTGCTTAGGAGAAAGTCAAAAGGGAATCCTTTGTATCGTAAAAGTAAGTCCAAGATGTTTTATAATATTTTAATTGTTTAAATTTTTGTTTGGAAATAAATATTTTACTAAATGAATTTGAGAGATTGAAGCATTAGGTAGGGTAAGTAATTAATAATGTAGAATTTGCAATTAATTTTCGTCAGCACTATTTTTCTCAAACATTTACCATTAGCATTGAGCTCATGTTTGTTTGCCACCTTTGTGGAGTAAAAAAAGCATAGTGGACTTTATACTCCTTTAGACTTTAGATTAGTACTTGCGCTTCAAATTAATTTTTGGGTATATTTAAAAAGTGATTGTCGTTTTTTTCGAGCTTTGGAGAGCACGTAAAGCCATTGCTCGGTAAACCACATGTGCGGCCTTCGAGTATAACGAAGGAGGCCAAGAAATTCTTGACACTAGAGGGTACTTGCACCCAATTAATTGTATTAGTGAAGAGTATAAATTGTTAATATAGGTGGAGGTAGTATCGGCGAGTCGACGGAGTCGGGGTCGCTGGAGGGTGCGAGGGGTCCGTCGCAGGACACCGGCGCGGGCGTCGAGGGTGGATTACGCGCGAGCAAGTCGGACACGAGTCTCACGGACTCGTTCGTGCTGGTGTCGGCGCCCGCTTCCCCCTCGCCCGCCTCGCCCGCCCCCGCGCCCGCGCACTCCTCGCACGCCTCGCACGCGCGGCAAGCACGCGCTGCCGCCACGAACGCTGACACAGGTTGTCTTTTATTTATTATTCCATTCATTTCTATTATAATTTTTTTTTTATACAACTTAGAATGGCAAACAAGCTGACGGCCCACCTGATGGAAAATGGTAACCATCGCCTATAAACATGAGCAGTACCATGGACATAACAAAGTATACTGTTACGCCCATGACACCCCCATGCGTTGCCATTCCTGAGGACTCAGATGTTATTCCTCTGTACCCTGTAAATTCACGCCATATCCCACCCTTCAAACCGAAACACAGCCATGCAAACACAACTGCTTTACACGAATGATAAACACAAATGGGACAGAGGTACCCAAGCAAACGACTTTTGTACAAAGTCTCCCTCTGGTACTGGTATACTGTAGCGAAACTGCAGTAATCTGACAAACTGGGCCTATATACCCGTGTGCCCTCACTAGAACTGAACAGTGGAGAACACCCAGGGTAAATAATAGTAATAAGAAAATGTATTTACTATGTATGTGTACTGTAACTGTATTGGGATATGCACGTATGTTCAGTAGATTAGTAACTACTACCTGAGGGAGAACATGTAATATGTAATGTTGTGTTGGGCGATAACAGCGGCAGGCGGCGAGATAAAGTGGAGGCGGCGGCTGGTGCTGCGCGGCAAGCTGACGATGCACACGGCGTACGAGCGGCGCGACAACGCCTGCCCCGCCGCCGTCACCGCCGTCGCGCCCGCTCGCAGCGGACGCGGCCTCGCTGTCGGCGACGCACGCGGACGGGTATGTATACCATACATAGTATACCTATACATCACTACATAGTATAAAACAAAGTCGCTATTGCTGTCTGTCCGTCCCTATGTATGCTTAAATCTTTAAAACTACGCAACGGATTTTGAAGCGGTTTTTTTTAATAGATAGAGTGATTCAAGAGGAAGGTTTATATGTATAATATAGTAGAGAATAATACATGCATAATAGAGAAACACTGGTAATTTTAGAGGTTTCTAATGTGATGTGAAGTATAGTACACCCGTGCGAAGCTGGAGCGGGTCGCTAGTATACTATACAAAGTAGGAGGCAGAAGGGATCATTACTAATAAGGACTAGAGGCCTTATTACTTGCAATTTAGACCAACTACAAAGAGTATTCTTGATGAATTCATCACAATGGGCCAACTGACCTATTTTCCTATCGTCCTATCGTCCGTCAATGATGTCCAGTGTATACTGATAGCGCAGACAGGGCTAGCATTCCATTATCATCCATTTGAAAAAGCATATATTATATATACTCTCTCCCTTGGCAGTGCATGTATTTTTGACGATCTTGGTGGTCTAGTGGCGTAACACATCTCTTTACTTTTTTCAATATTGATCTTTTTTATTATTTTTTATTTTCAATGTTATTATATATATGGATTTAAAAACATTTCAATAAATTATATGAACTCATGTATCAGTTACCTAGTATCTATAGTACACGCTCTGCTTATATTGTTACTAGATAGCATCTTATAATGTTTACAGTACTATTTATATATTTATTTCATAGACATAAACGGTTTCCAACAACTAAAAATGTAACTTATAGCTTTGTACATAAATTGATGCCAATGTATCAGTGTAATTAATTTTGTGTCATTGCAGATATTCCGTTGGTCAGCACCGGATATGTCTAGCTCATCCGGAGCGAAGGGTGGTCCGGCGGATCATTGGATACGAGACGATACAGCGCCATATTGCACTCAGTGTCAGGTGCGTGAATAAATACTATTCGTTTACAAACATTATGTAATAAATAAAAAAAAAAAATAAGGGAATATTCACTAAGAGAATTTGTGTGTAACGTAACAGCTCAAAAACGAGTACAATAATTTATTTATTTATTTATTTATAGCAAGGCAACAGATTACAAATTAATACATTTATAAAATAAATATTACATAAAACGGCATTAAATTTGCACTCCAATAACTGCTCAGGATAACATTCGATATTATATACGTTAAAATAATGACGGCTATAAATTTAAAGTAACAAATTGGCAGCCTTAATGTAACATTGCAAGGATTGTTGGAAGATATCAAGGTCCTTGCATACATTGTTATATTTTCTGCACATGCGGATAATTGGATTGTGATACGATACATTATTATTACAAATCGGTATATAAAATAATTTTTGTATTCTTTTATTACCTGTACGAAATGAAACAAGGCTCAACAATGTGCTACTGTCCCATTTATAATTTATTATTTTATAAAGAGTAATGAAATCAGACATAGATCTTCTATTTATAAGAGAATTAATGTTAAAGTGATTAAGTCTTAATTCATATGATTGAAGTTTCCTTCTCAGACCAAACTTAGTGCTCAAGAATCTAACAAAGCGTTTTTGAATTGCTTCTATTCTGTCAATGTGGTTCTGATAAAAAGGAGACCAAATAACAGAACAGTACTCAAGTGAACTTCTAACTAGTGATGTATAGAGTGACAAGATAGTATGCGAGTTTTTAAAAGGTCTAGTTGTTCTAAAGATAAAGCCTAGAGTTCTATTTGCTTTTGCAACTAAATAATCATAGTGTTGTATAAATGACAATTTTGAGTCAAATATAATACCTAAGTCACGAATGGATTCCTTTTTTTCCAAACGCATATTATTAACACAGTATGGATAACTTATAAGAATTCTATTTTTAGTAAAAGATATGACGTGGCATTTAGATATATTCAAGTTCATATTATTATCAATGCACCACTGATGCAAACGATTGATATCTCGCTGCAGTATTTCACAATCTAGATCACAACTTATCGTACGATATATCTTTATGTCGTCAGCAAAGGCTAAATGCTCACATGTTAAAGTTTGGAGAAGATCATTGACAAATAAAATAAATAATAGAGGGCCTAAATTGGAGCCCTGGGGTATACCAGATTTTAATTCAAACGGGACTGAATCATAGCCGTAAATAGTTACGATTTGCGGACGATTCATTAAATAAGATTTAAGCCAAAGCAAAAGTGAGCCATGAATACCCAAATGATGTGCTTTGATGCAAAGTATCTCATGGTCAACCCTATCAAAAGCCTTCGCAAAATCCACATAAATTGAATCCACTTGTACTTTGTTATTAAAGGCTACGTTTATATAATGGATATATTCGAGAAGATTTGTCAATGTGGAACGATTATTTATAAAGCCATGTTGGCTGGAATCAATAATATGCCTAAGATGAGAATAGATGTGTTTATACACTAGCCCTTCCAGGATCTTAGCAAAACAAGAAAGAATGCTTATTGGTCTATAGCTACTTATATCTGCTTTGCAGCCTGTTTTATGTATTGGCACAATTTTAGCAATTTTGAACAAATCAGGGAAACTTCCCGATGACAATGACTTGTTAAATAATATAGTTAGAGGCTCAACCAATGCTATTGCACAATTTTTCACAAATATTGGCGGTATTCCGTCGGGCCCTGCTCCCTTAGTAGCATCGATAGATTTCAATGACTTGATAACATCGTCTTTTGAAATATAAATATGAGACAGACATTGCGTTGCCTGAGAAAACTTTGGGGTATATGACTTGGCGGTAGACTGGCTGTAAACAGAAGAAAAATAACTTGCAAACAAATTAGCAACACTATAACCATCGTTTGCACGTTGCTCTTTGTAAAACATTTGGTTTGGAAGATCGTTTGTTAATTTTTTAGCCTTAGTATATCTCCAGAATGCTTTGGTATTAGTCTTTATATTTTCTTCCATTTGTGATATGTAAATTTTAAAATGTTTATCAAATAACTCTTTAGATCTGGATCTTAGTAACGAATACGTGTCAAAATCACGCGGGTTGCTAAACTTTTTATATTTGCGATGATATTTATCCTTTTCCTTTAATAGTTTTATCAGGGATTGAGAGAACCAGGACGGATATTTGGATTTTTTAGATTTGGCCACGGGAGTATATTTTTCTATAATTTCCCATATGACATTATAAAATAACTGTAAGAAATTATTACAATCAAGATTCAAGTATTTATGCCATTCGACTTTCGAGAGATCCGCTGTACAACCTAAAAAATTACATTTATGAAAGTTAAATCTCTTAATGATATTTTCCTTTAATGATGAAGTATTGTCTGCGGTAATATTAATCTCTAAAGGGGGGTGGTAAATATCGACACGACTAAGTGGCTGTGCGTCCATCACTTTACATACCAAGTCAGTACTCGCCAATACCAAGTCAAGAAGCTTTCCATTGCTGTTAAAAGTAAAGTTACGTTGAGCGAGTGAAGTTCGAGATACAAAGTCTCTCATAAGCAAATATTTCTCATTAATAGTTTTAAAATTTTTTGTGTTATCCCACTCATAATCTGGTAGATTGAAATCACCTATAATAAGAAAATGTTCACCAAACGACGATAACATTCTTTCTTCACAAATCTCTAGATAGTCAAAGAATTGCTCACTCGCAATATATGAAGGCATATAAGCTGTGCAAATATTTAAAGAAATATGTTTTAGCTTAATTTTAACCCATACATCTTCAAGTGACGAATTCCAATCATATCTACAGTCCGATAAAATACTTTTATTTACTGCTATTAACACTCCTCCACCATGGGTTTTACTATATTTTGTTAAAAATTCAATAGGCCTATCTTTACGATAAACTTTATACCGTTCGTCAAATATTTCTGCTGAATATACCGTATCATCGAGCCAAGTTTCACATAGACATATTATATCATAGTTATTACAGATAATAGTTTTATAAATATCATTCGTTTTAGATTTCATACCTCTGATATTCTGATAATAAATCGTTACATCCATCTTACCCATTTTAAAAAGATAATTACAGAAAAAATACAATAATAATAAAATAAAAAACAAAATGAAAAGTACACTACGAAGTTATAAACTACGAATTCACTGCAGATTCTCTAACACCTGCAAATTTTTAACATGTATAAATTGTGAGGTTTCGTTTTTTCTCATAAATATGTGTCCATTTCGTATCCACACGAATCTATAAGCTAATTCCTTCGCTTTGAGTCTGGCTGCAGCATGCACAGATTTATTAAAAGGAGAAAGATGCTCCGATACATATATTGGCACAATATTACCACTGATACCGAGGTTTAATGAGTTAAGTTTATTGTGGGGATGAGACTTATTATATCTAGCAATGGCAGAGTACAGTTCGTCACGACATCGTGTACTTCGTAATTTTGCGATTATAGCTCTTGGCCGCTTGCTATTCCTATTCATACTGGCAACTCTTGTACAATTTAAAACATCAGTGTCAGAAAGGTTGTAAGACACAGTTTCAGCAATTTTCTTAATAATACTAAGCGGGTTTTCTGTTTTACTTTCGGGGACTCCCTGTATCTCAATATTAGAATCTCTTAGATTTTGGTCTATAGTATTAATGCGTTCCGTTAAAGATAGTACTGTGGATTCCAAATTATCACATTGACATTTCATCTTATTGTAGTCCGATGACAATGTTGATATTGTCTTGTTTAAATCTTCATACTGATTACTTATAAACTGAACTGTGTTTTGAAGATCTTGTAGTCTCTCTTTAAGGGGGTATAGTTCTTTTTCTAACATTGGGCGAATCAGATCAGGAAGCTCCTCATGCAGCGAAGCTCGCATTTCCGATTTGATGAGTCTTCTCAATTCATCTTCAGAATGTGAATACAACGATGTTGATTGCTTTTTTCGTTGAGTGACATAGCTGCTCTGAGAATCCTCGCTATCAGAAGACTTATTTAGGTTTCCTAAGTTCCCTTGACGTATGGGTGTATTGGTATTATCTCCCTTAGGTTGTTTATTTCGGCATGCAGGGCATACCCAAGCCTGTTTATGTTCCTTGGTCATATTGTTGTTAAACCGTTTTTCAGAAACATTAGCACACGATAAGTCGTAAATATCTCTACACGTATGGCATTTAAGATACAGTTTGCCCATTATGATATTAAGACATCCAGCACAAGATATTTTCTTTGATGCCATTTTTATAGATTTGCACGTGTACTGAAGTTATAACGTAAACTACAAATACTCAATATGTAGGTAGTTATAAATAATGAACAAATTATATTTCCTGAACGGCCGCTCAACATCAACAGGTAGGTAGAAATGCGCGACTGCACTGCTGCAGCGATGACTCACCGTTACACTACAATCACTGCATGAACGCAACGGAATTCATAAGTTGTTAATATATTTCTATTCTTTGTTACACTTCTACAATATTAAGCTATAACTTTGCAATGGGATGTAAGTTTGGAAATTAATAAATGTTTTTGTATAAGTTGCACTACCGAAAATCAACTTTTCATTAGTATTTTGAATTAATTTACACGGACCGTATGTTTACACGTCTTACTTCCACAATAATAATAAATAAGGTCTGACATTGTATTAAAATTTTCACTTGAATATTTATACTATAATAATTGCCCGACACCAATACTAGTATGAACAAAAGATCGTATTAAATATGTGTTGAAGAATAGAAAACCTGACTATTATTTGGTGGTATTAACCTTCTGTCACGCCTCGCACCTAATACTAAAAGCTATTTTGCATGAGAGTGGTCCTCATGCAAAATATATGGTGGTAGGTCGTCTTTGTTATACACGAAGGCAGCGCTGAAAACTGATTTAGTGTGAATGTAAATATGCCTGATTGAGCTGTAACGTGTTAAGATGTTAGCACTAGCAAATAAAATTTATCAACGTATAAACGCGGTTTAATGTACGCCAAATTGACTTGAAACAGGTACGGTTTACGGCATTAGAGCGGCGGCACCACTGTCGCGAGTGTGGCGCGGTGTTCTGCGGCCGCTGCTCGCGGTACGAGGCGCCCGTCCGCCGCCTGCGAGCTCTCCGCCCCGTCCGCGTCTGCCAACGCTGCCACGACAACATACAAGCCGCCAAACAGTAGTCGCGCACATCAAGTACCTGTCTCCATTCACCATGTCCACCTTCTGTGTACACCCATAACACATTAGTGAGTACTAATGTGTTATGCGTGTATTAAAAGTGGTAACGCTTGAGAGTTACAATCGGCGTCACAGTATAGTGCACTTTATAATTTCCACGATGCCGTACATGTCTATAAGTAATCATTACCACTTAAGATGGGCCAACAGATTTATACCATTTCCAATTTTTAAAAAAGGTCCAGGTTCATATTAAATCTATCCAAGTAGACTATTTTTCCGATGATGGGAAACGCCGTTAACGTACCAAGTTGCTTCGAGTGAGTATAGTCAGCTTGCCTCTGCAACGATTTATCAAATACAAATATACTCCGCAAAATGTAGCTATGTCGTTCACCGCAATGGCTACAGTCGGCAAATACTTCTGACTATCCCATCTGGGATTATAATCATGAGCATAGTTTATCCAAACACCATACACATGTAACTGTCCAAATTGTACATGACATTATAAATAAATTCTTTGTTTACCTGAAATATAATCGAAATGGTGTCGAAATTGTTTCGCAGTCTGGCAACCACTAGTGATACGTTAATCTTCTTTCTTTATTTATTATATAGCCTTGTCCTTATTTCTTTTTACATTGACAAAATAAATACTTATTATCAATTCTCTAGCGACGATTTTTGAAACGTAACGTATGACAGATACAAAACTTACAAAAATATATTGTCTTCATTCTCTTTCATCTAGTTTAATTGATGTATAAAATTTATATTTAATCATTACATTCAATTATAGTCTTTTTTATTATTATGTAAGAATTATTAAAAAATAAATAAATAAAAAAGCTTAAGATTACAATAAGTTTATAAGCAGTCTAAAAATACAAAATTATTAAGCCTGGAGCCGATTTTGCTTATGGTTTGATCAAAGCTGGTATCCAAAATTAATGTTAAAGCCTCTCTGTGAGACTCCACTACCAACTATTAACAATTCTTTTTCATTTAGTTATAAAAAACGTAATTTTGTCATGTAGTCTTATAATGTGACGATTAAACATAAACTCACTTACAGATTAACTTGGACAATGGTTATCTAATTGACATTACAATGCCTTAGTTTTATGATGGAACGGCAATTAACACGATAAATATCCTTACGTCATGACTGACTTTGTTATACGGGTGTAGTCAGTTTGTGACTGCACCCCGTGTAACCAAGGGGTCTACCATGAAATGAAATTCCGAATTTTCGGACTTAATTTCGTGTTTTTCTTCATACCGAAATCGACCCAGTAAATGGAGCTGAAGATTTTGTTCGACATAAAACCAAAGGAAAGATATTTTAACATTGTTTTTTTTTTAAATAGTGGTCATCAAATTTTTCTTTCGTTCAGGCTTGAAATTTCGGAAATCATTTCATGGTAGGTCTTCTAGTGGAAATGTCGAGATAACCTAGTTATGTGATTATATTGTATCTATAATCGTTAACTCAACGTAAGCGTTAACTCCTATCTTTATAAAATAATAAAGCCTTATGGCTATTATTGCCTGGTTTATACCAGGCAATGCGACAGTAATAAAATTAATAGTATAATGTTTTTTTTTTGTGTAATCAAGAAGTGAATGTGTCCCTTTTACTATTTCGTCTAAATAAAAATGTTCCCACTATATAAAAATAAATTGAGTACTCATCTTACCTCCGTAGTGAAATGATAAATAAATCTATTAAAAAATATGACTTGCTCGTATGAGAAAAAGCTGGAACCAAGACATTTGCTGTCTCGTACTCTCTTGTACATACAGTAGCGAGAACGTAGGTATCTAACCATGAATTCGTATGCCACTTGTCGAGACAGGCTAGTATAAATGCGAACAATAGTGGATGACCTTTTCTGTAAAGAAAAATTAATATAATAAATAATTTAATTTCAGTATTTAAATTTCACTTTCGACTAATTTATATATTGTATTATACAGCTATAGCTTTTTATAAGGAGTCTGCTTTTTGTACTGCAGCTAAATATCAAATATTTATCATATTAATAATAAAGTTTTAGTCAATAGAATTATATCCGATATATTTTACAAAATTATTATTATTAATTTATGATGTACTAATTTTGTGAATTGAAGTTTTCCTTAATTCTTTTTACATTATTATTAAAAAAAAACACTCAATAAAAAAGTATATTACTGATGAGGTATCTAGTGCTATTATTAATTAAAAGTAGCATTATTTTGGTTTGTAATAATATATGCTATTGCTATAAAGAAAAAAAAAAGTATTTAAAAGTCATTTCAAATTCGTAGACTATAATTAAGCTTTATTTTAATATATTTTTTAATTATAAATAATTTGTTAAGTATTTATAAGAAAAAATGTATTATCATTATAATAACCTTCCCTTTATGGTTGTCAAATAGTTATAATAACTGTTAGTAATCCTGATAATGTAATTATTAATATTGGCTTTACTCACATTTTAAATTCGGGGATACCCGACCAGTTTCATCTCAATAGGAGCCATTATTCATGTGCGCAGTTCACGATTGTGTCGCGAGTAGCATTACGTGAGCAGCGTATTGTTTATCGTTACGCGCGTGCGGTAGGCAGCGGTAGCGCCGATTGCTCTATGCAGTCGTGTTATCGCTTCGTCGGGTGATAGACTTGATTCTCGGGTCATTCCATCAGGTGATGTTGAAGTATCCGTGCAATGCATACCGTGCTCACTGCGTCGCACTTCAGACTTACATTCTGTCTAATGTATGGTGACATACGGCGTAATATAGCCAGGAACCGCGTTAAATCAGTAAATATGGGCTGAATGAATAAGGGCTCCTATTGAGTTCGAAACTAGTCAGGTATCCCCAAATTTAAAACGTAAGCAAAGCCGAGTTAAATAATTATATGAAGTATGGCTCACGACAGTTATTATACAATAACCTTGATAGGTTTATGATCATAATTATTAAATATTATTTATTCAAATTTGATAAACAATTGACATATTTGTCTTAAAAGACCAAATCATTGTTATTTTTCCTGCATTATAATGTTTTTAAAATGTTACGTATTTAATAATAAGTTTGGTTAAAATTATTTTAGATATTTTGGTGGTATATTTGTATACATCTGACTTTGAAATTCTAACAAATTGTAAATATTGTATTATTTAAGTTAACGAAATTCTTTATTTTGACCAGCTTTTTGTAACTATTCTTCTCAATCAGTATTAGTATTATAGTAATTTGTTATTAATTGAGGATCTCAAAATTATTTAGTTTATAACTTATGAACTATATTTTATATTCTATTTGCTGTGTGATTTGTTTTTTTCATAAAAATGTGATATATTTTATTTTTAAGTACAATATGTTGAAAACTTATTCCGTTATAGTGGATATGAATTTTGCAGTCGAATATATTTACACTATTGTTTACTAGTCATATTTCTTGTGTTTAACTTATGTTTGGCTTTATTTTCTTCGCAATTGATATGATTAGATTAAGATCTCGGTATACATTTATATGGATTTAAAGTAAATAACAAATCAATTTTATTGACAATTTGTTAATGTAATTATACTATATTAAACGTCGGCACCTATAATAATCTGTATTTGTAATTAAAAAATAAACATTACAAACCAAATACTATCTAGTTTCCAACGAGCTTAGCAATGTGCGGCTCAAGAACAAGGCGTGACCTAGATGGTATACATACATGTTAATTACAAGTTAAAGAATATTATCGGTAAATATATGCATTTGTAGATTACATTCCTAGTCTCCATTTTTAATTATTATTTTTGCAATTTAAAATTACAGTGTAAATTTATAAATGTAATATGCATATTAAACATTATATACAGCACAGATAAAAATGTTAGGCTATATGTAAGTTAAAGTATAAGCCGGTTGCTCAAGCAAGCAGTTTTTCCGCATCAATCACTCTTGTGGTTGATAATGGTAAATCAATTGATGCATTACAAAGCGCAATCCGTGTATTCTAGCCTTATGAGTAGAAATATATATGTATTTTGCATTTTGATGTGTGAAAGTTATAAATCCTTGATTTTTCTCCCCTGCAGGGTAAATGTTTTGATATTATTTAAATTAGTAATTTTCGTACTATATATCAGCTTCAGAATTCGAAAATGTCAATAATTAAATTACTATTAAAAATACAAATTATGAAGTCATCTCAGCATAGTTTTCTATATTTGTAAAATTATAGTAAATAAAAATTATATGAATCACTTATGAAATTGTATAATGGGATTTGAAAATGTAGGTATGACCATCTAGAAAGTGAATTAGTCTTGGTAGTAAATAAAGCATCATTAAATTAGGGCTTTATTGTAAGTTGATGTTTCTTTAGTAATCCGATCTGTGTATAGATAAATAATTTACAGACAATATATACGTTGTTTAGGTAGTACGTAGGCACTGAAGTTTATGCCGTTGACTAATGTATTCATGTAATAAATGAATAAAAAGGTGCAGCAAGCCATATTGCCTTTTACTTTCTAATTCTTCTCACTTATTATTCAATCGTTGACTGTCATTAATTGTCTAGGTTCTCTACCGAGTGTTGACTTCTTTGATACACTAGTACAGACGAAAATTGTCCCCTGCCACTTACATCCATCGACTTTCTACAATCCATTTAAGGTAGCACCTGCGCGAATGGTACCCTTACGTATCAGCTGTATATTTTCAGTTACTAAATTTCTGAGAGACAACGCTACATTGGACTTTAATATGCTCGATTAAATGTTGGCATGTTGAGAATTATGAGAAGCTACTAAGGTACTTAGACTTGTAAATTAATATACATATGTAACATCTTTTTACATTTGAAGATGAAGCATCGTGCATATGTGAAACTCTATTAAATAAGTAGAGATATAGGAAGGAAGATATTAAATTGGTACTTATCAATTGGTAATTCATATTGCTTTGTCAGAGCTTAATAAAGCTTTTAGGACAATTTGAGAAAAAAGGAAAGTAGTAACAGTTGGCACTAGGTTTTGTTTATTTATTATGTAAATGACCTGGCGTGGAGACAATGTAATAAAATGAAATAATAAGAGGGGAGAACCCCTCGTATTATTTTTTATTCATCACCAAATAAAAAGATGTCTTACGCGATTTAATGGTAAGAATTCCATAAAATACATATACAGGAGCATAGATATGTACTGTATTTGGATATTCATGGGCAGGAACAATAAAAAAAAAGACAGTTTTCAACTAAACATAATATTTAATATTCTTCATAATATTTGAACTTTCGATATCTAAAATATCTACATATTTGCGTCGATATTTACATGCTTGACAGTTAAAACTGTAGAATATACATAACACCCAACGAATAACTCCAAATAACATTGATTTAATTTCACATTAAGTACAATTTGTCACAAAGTTTACGTACAATTTTAACAAGCATTGTTACATGAAAATAATATTTTAAAGTACAAAGTTGACCTATCTATGCTACGGTCTAAGTTTTTATATTACGCACTGTGTATGTAACAGCAAGTAAATTTCATAAAATACGGTGCTGTATAAAATGTGTGCATTTCATTAATTCAATTCTACAACACTCATGTAATTTCGATATCACAATATATTAATATTTAACTCTAGGAATCATGCGGATCAACAATCTGATACCACAATATTTAATAATATTTTTCACGTATTACTAATCATATATCATATATACTTCAAAGATACTTTAAAGGCAATATTTATTTTTCTAAATTATCTGAAAATAGTTTTGCAGCATACAAATTATTTGTATTTAAAGAAATGCTTAAATCATTGATGCATCTGGAATTTCTTTACAACCAAGTGAAAATATGGTACAAAAGGCGTATTTTATGCTAGTAGCATTCTATCAACCTTCAGGAGTTAAATCAGGTATTAGTTACTTATTGAATAAGGTTTAAGTGTCAATATCCGCAGTCAGTACATTATGAATTAAGGTAAATTGTAATACTCAATATATATATATTGATCAGATAGGTCACATGACCAATATTAATTAGTATAGTCATTAGTTTATTAAGATTACTTTTCAGGGAGGGCCTGGCTCCTTAAATGAGGCGCATATATCGTCATAGCCGTAGAATACTGACGGATATATATATATTTAATATTTGTCAAATCCGTCAGTATTCTATGACTATGACGATATACTTACAGACATGTCTGCGAAGCACTGATTGCGTCCTGGAGTAAACACGATCTTCCCAGCCTCCCTATAAATATGCCTATGAGTGTGATATAATAAAATACGCCCATTAATAAAGCCGTATCTATTTCAATAACAAATTTAGTATATAAAAGGACGTCAAAATTCATAGAATGTGGGGTATAGTATATATAGTATATTTGTTTGTTTACACACAATTATTATATTCTAATACATAAATATATTATTATACAAATTGTAAGTACAAAGTGCAGGCATATTATTATGCAAGGCTAGCTAGTGATATGCGTTTTTGTCAATTTCGTTTATTTAAAAGACAGTGTGGAATGTACAGATGTAAGGTAAATATTGGAGTTGCCATTTTTAGTCACGTGGACTTCGTAAGAGATAGATATCAAATATTATTGAACACTGGTCTAATGAATTTTATGATAATAATTATATGATAAATAAAAACATAAAAACTGCAGAAAAGAAAAAAAAAGAATCGAAGACTTCAAGTGTTTTTAAATATATCGACTAAAACAAAATTTAACAGAACAGTAACTTTAAGTAACATTACGACTAACCAAAAATAACACGTAAGTACATAAATTTACTACCTGAAATCACCTATTTAAATTATATTACGTTGTTGCCCTACATTCTTTCTATTTGTTATTAAATTAACGCAATAAAAAAGTATAAAAAACAGATCCACGAGCGATAGAGGTAAATATCCTACAAATTTACAATTATATACAAAAAAGGAAAAATATATCCAAAACCACTATACAATTCAATTATATAATCGTTTAACAATAGAAATACTGCATTGTTCGTTTTCTTTACACATAACGCATGGACATCGCGGTCGGTCGATTAATACTGCATGGACGATTCTATAACGTGGACTTACTTGCTTAAGAATTATACACGAACACGATGTAGAAATGTGTGCGACGCAGAAGCAAGTGCAAGTGCGGTATTACGACATATTATATTTACTTTGTAAATATATGTGCAATGTACACAACGACAGACAATATTTGGCATCTTATCGCTGTAAACTAAACCGCTATAATTGTTATAGATAAAGCTATGTATTTTCACATTTAATTTGTCTAATTTTTACTTTTATAGACAAAGCATATTATTAATAGGTTGAAAAATTTATCTTCTGACGTCAACAGGATTAGAACTCGCATCTCTCTGCTATATGCGCCGAGTGTGTTCCCAGTACTACGGAAGGAATAATCGGTAATTTTTACGCCTGATATAATGACGTTTGAAAATAGTGGTTGAGGTGAATCGTGTTGTTGGAAGTAAAATTTTTCAATCTATTAATAATTTGGTATTTCCAAATGCAAGATTACGTATGTCAAATATTTTCAAACATACAGATATTTGTAAAATCAGTATGAAATTATCTTTATTGATTATATCTGGAAATATTGAAAACGTTTCAACTGCGGACCATCGTCATATGAACTTTGAAGTATGCACTCATACACTATTCTATAAAACATTTGTAGAAGTACACACAATTCAATTTCCTGTTACATTTCAAATAAAATGAAGGAAATCCTTGTTATTTTTAATTTAGATAACAGTCTAATTCGTTTATAAGTAAATTATATATTTTTTTAAGTACAAAATGTCGTGAATGTCAGTGCCATAGATGTTTGAGTGGTACAAGAATATTAAATAAGTACAATAATAAAACGTTCGATATTACAAAAATATCATTTAGTGTGATATATTCTTTTAAGAATATACCATGAAAGGATAAATCACATAATTATTAATACATGAACATTTTTAAGACACAATAGGAACATATATTCTGTTTAACACACTGACAATTTTACTATTAATCATCGTTTTACTCTCACTCATTATAATGCCAAAATTAATGGTTGTATATATAAGTTTTCGAAAATAAATGTATCTTATATGAAGACTTCGTTTCGTTGCGGCTAATTGGGATATTTTGCGAGGATACATAAACCGAATATACCTCTCGTGAGGCATCATGTTATTACTTTGAAATAAGTCGCGTAAAATGTTAATTCCACCTGACAATTCAGTCATTATATCATTCTATAAACAGCACCAATGTTATCATATCCTTGCCCACATCCCACTAATAAGCAATCTTTTGTCATTGATCACTGGCTTTGTCAGCCGTCACATTTTCCTTCATATACATAGTGGTCATCTTTGAAAAAAATTGCTCCCTGGATCAAAGCGAATTGAAAAGTGTGCGAACACTATTTGGGCGTGGGGACAAGAAGCGTTCCTCTAATTTACCTACAAGTGTTCCGTATTGCCGCGCGGCGTCTAAGGCTCTGTGCAGACGAGCGACTTTCGCTCGTGGCGGATAACATGCCCCGTTCTGTTCGCTAGGCACTTGGTGTACCCTATGCAATGCAATTCTTCTATTTTGATGGACAAAAAACTACAGGGAGGATTGTCCCTCGTTCGCATAAGCTCTAAAAGTGTGCGGCTGGTGCAGGCTGCACGGTCGGCGGGGGCAGGGCAGGCGAGAGGAAGGGATTAGTGGAAACGAGAGAATGTCCGGCGTAGGAAGCGGCGCGGCCGGCGGCTGCGAGCGGCGGCGCGCGCGCCACGCGGCCCAGCCAGGCGTCCGGGTGCGGCAGCGGCGCCGCCACCACGGCGGCCGGCACCGGCGCCGGCGGCGGCGTCGGCGCCGGCACCGGCTCCTCCGTGAGCGCGCGCAGCCCCAGCGACAGCTGCTGGCACATCGCTGCCACCGGGTCTGCCTCCGGCCGTGATCCCTGACATTTTTAAACTTGTTTAGTAAAGAACAACAACAGTTTAGACACAATATACACCATAATACATATACAAGAATCAGTTGCAGTGCACGAGTATATACTCACAAGAGTGAATTAATAGTTTATTAAATTTGTAACTTTAGTGGTTCAATCAATTATTAAAAAAAAATTGATATATACGTGATTTTAGGTCGGACTACTTCTTATCATGGTTAATTAATGTATCTTGGATAGGTGGATAGTTATGAGACAAGTTGACAATAAGAATATAAACTATTGACTATTATTATTATTGATTGAAACTTTTAAAAATAATATATTTCTGTGTAATATATTATTATTAGTAATAGAATAAGCAGTCTCAATACTAGCAATATCAACATACATCAAGTCAACATCCATGAGGGCCATGGAAACCCTATGGCCCTCATAGATTGTGATTAAATCCTGGTGAATTTGTATCGATAGATTACTATCCATCATCCTCGCGAGGACAAGGAATTGTTAGTGATGGGGTCTAAAAACCTCTTTGCTAGCAATATATCCTATCAGGTTTATCTCCACGTGGTTCCCCTGGAAACCATCGTGTTTATTTTTTAATGAATTTTTCACAATGGACCAACTGATCTGACTTCATTCTCATTCTTATCATCTCTCACTGATGTCTTACCAACGTTTACCGATAGTACAGAGGTGGTTACCATTCCATTTTCACCCAATAAAGACATCATTCTTGCTTATTATAATTCACTGGTATCCACCAGAGGGACACTTTGTAGAAAAGTCGATTGCTTGGGCCCCTCTGTCCCATTTGTGTTTCTACTGTGAAGCAGTTGTGTTTACGTGGCTGTGTTTCGGTTTCAAAGGTGAGATATGGCAGTGAATTTATAGGGTACCGAGCAAAAACACCGGAGTCCTCAAGAATGGCAACGCATGGCGGTATCATGAGCGAAACAGTATACTCTGTTATGTCCATGGTATTACTCATGTCTATAGGCGACGGTTACCACTTTCCATCAGGTGAGCTGTTAGCTTGTTTGCCATTCTAAGTTGTATAAAATAAAAATCCCGCCAGCATATATAGGGCAAACGGAGTTAATTGGGATGAAAATCATCCCACAAAAGGAGAAAAAATGCAACTGACCTCAAGTGGTGCGAGGTCGGGCAGGGGGTTGGGCGCGGGGGCTGCGGCCCGCGGCGGCGACCCCAGCCCGGCGCGCTGCCGCTCGAGGTTCGACGGAAGCTCGCTTATACGCAGTGACATTTGGCGCTTGAACGGAGAACTGAAATGAAAAATAAACATTTACCTTTTATAAGGCGAGATCAATATACTTAACATCCTTTTAAGAGAGTGTCCTACAAATTAAGCTCAATACTTTTCATGATAAAAAGTTAGTTGAATTAAAAAAAATTGAGCCTGCCATAATTAAGACGGCGCGTTTAGCTGTAGTTTGTATGAAAGTCTATAATTTTTTTGCCGCTTTTCGACTCATGTTTCTTTGAGAAAAATGTTTAGTTTCACTGGTACTACAAAACCGCTGTGTTTTGTTTTGTCTACTGTTGTTATAGTGAACATACTTTCCTACAGTTCGCCAAGCACATAAGATAATTTAAAGGTATAAGTTATTTATCGTCGTCATGGAAAATAATAGAAATAACAATATATCTTAGCTTTCGTCGGACGATCTTACATGGCATCAGCCAGATCAAGTATTTAAATAGAGAATATCAGATCGATGACATTTTCTTATTAAGAATCAATAGTAAATAATAAATACCTATTATTGAGATGAGCAAAACCGCGGAAGGAGCCTTGCCGCTCGAGCAGATGAGGCGCGGCGTGGGGCCGTTCTACAGCGAACGGGTTGTGCGGCGTGGGACGCGCCGCCGCGCTCGCTATCGGTGCGGCGGCCGGCGGTGGCGGCGGCGGCGCCGGCGACGCGTCCGCCTCCGACACGCGCCGTGCTGTTATACCTGCCAAGTACCACACACTTTAAGAACAGTGTAACAAAGAATTTTCACCAAACATACATAATGTATTTTACACGTATATGTAACGTTTACACCAATTTTTGTGTATGTTGTGATTAATATATAAAACATTATTTTTGCTCGAGTAGATGTTGCGACAACAAACCAAAATATGTCTTAAACAAAATATGTATTTTAGTAAAAATAGGAAATAAATACATACTACCAGACTACTCTGTAAATTCAGCAGTATGATTCTAATTGCTAGCAATATAGGTTATCTCATTTCGTCTATTTTCATAATTCGTCTCTTTGCTAACTATATAGTATAAAAATATTGGAAACATCAAATTCAAATCATCTTTATTTATCCTTAATCGTAGGTATCACACAAAATTTTAAAATTAGAACATGAATTACCCTACAGGAATATACTACACTGACATGGTCGACGTACCCACGCAAATGACTTTTATGCAGTGTCTCTTCTTTTTTGATAAATAAATAAAGATATGTCTACAAATTAACAATTAATATATTAATATTGTAAGATAAACTGACTGGACTTTCGGAAAGAGCCCTGCCGCGTGAAGGCATGACTTGCGGCGTCGATGCTCATGGAGACGGCGCACTCCTTGTCGCGGCGCTGCTTGCGCTCGAGGCAGGCGGCGAACGCGCAGCCCACCGCGTGCGACAGTCGCTCGCCGCTGTCGCGCGACGCCAGGAATCCGTGGCACATCCAGCGGCGAGTCGTACCATCCCGGCAGATGTAGCTGTAACGAAAAATTATTTATTTATTTGAAGAAACTACAGTAATGAGGAACATTAATAGTATTCAATACAATAAAACTAGAGTTAATTAAGGATTCATACAGTTGTATAATAAAATGTATAAATAATATATATAATAAAATTAGGACGTGAGATGTAAAATATATAAATATATGACATACAGTTATATTTTTTTTATTTTTTCAGCCGTTAACTATCCACTGCTGGACATAAGCCTTTTCTATAAAGGGAGTTTTGCCAGTAGTTGCCACGCTTGGCAAGCGGTTACAATTATATATAACAACAGTATTTATTATGCTTTTAAGTGAAAAAAAAAATCGTTGCTCAATAGTCGCTTCACTATATCATGCTAGAATGAAATAGATTCATATGTAATGTATTATTAAAAGTGTTACTATAATATAGTTTAATTGGTTCTGGCATAGAATGGGCTACCTTTTCCTTTCCCGTGGGTATTGTAAAAGGCGACTAAGGGAACTTAAAGGTCGAGGGTTGGGCATCAGCGTCCCTCTTAAAACATCACTAAAAGTCTAGCTGCAGTTGCATACTCTCCTGACCAAGCATGGCAACTATTGGTAAAACCCACTTTTATGGAGAACGTCCGTGTTCAAGCGTGGACTTGAGTGGAATGGAATAATAATAAAAAAATTAAAACTATTACTATAATACATCGTTTAATTTATAGTTGATCACTTGATAATTTCCATAATAATTGTGAATAAGTTTATTATTATGGATGAAGTTTAATATTATTAAAATATGAAAATGATAGAAAAAATGTCGGATTCGTATTACTGCTGTAAAGTAGTGCTAACTAGCATGACGGTGTTTCGGTTTGAAGGATATGCATGCATATGTATTATCATATTATATAACCGCTGAAAATAAGGTACCCCATAGACTGTCACTAGGAACGGTTCCGAGCTACCTGCATGCACTGACTCCGCAATACAATGGAGGTCGTCGCTCCATCACGGCATAGATGGATGCGTATATACTGCAGTGAAATTACAGGTTGCGGCGGTATATCATAGTTTTTCGATACGGTTACACACGAGAGGTATCATAGGCATCACAGATCATATCATCATAATTACTATGGTATTTTTTTTTAGAATTGTTCAAAATGGTTTCCAGGGGGAACCACGTTGAGGTCGACCTAACAAGGCATATTGCTAGCAATGGGGCTGTCAAACTCCATTGCTAACAATCCCTTCCCCCCCATTACTATGATATTGTTTATGTCTGGGCGATAGTTATCACTTTCCACCAGGTAGACCGTCAGCTTGTTTGCCATTCCTAGTATCATAAAAAGAATTCATCGTTCTCTAAAAAGAATTACAAACGTATAATTTTTTTTTATGTGTTATTTTGAAGATAATTATTCAGTACATCTTACTGGCAGTTACATATAAGGTTATGTATGTATTCAAGAACGGCATAATGGCAAGTGTTTGAATTAATGTGATCAGGTTATGGATAGCACGGCAGTTATCGCACGGTTTGTGCGTCATTGGACTGGTCGGTTTGTATGTGATGCACGATTTTGATGAATTTATAACAAGCGTGTATATTTAATAGAATAGGCGCACTTGATTGTTGGATTAAATGAAACTTTAATTAATATAAAACTAGAAAAGTCCATTTTCTAAACTGGTCCGTCATGACCCAAAACTGAATACTGCTTATATTAGTTACATATATATACAAAAAATACTACTATATCCTTAATATTATAAATGTGAAAGTGAGTTTGTTACCTCTTGGTACTTTGACAACCGTCAGCTTGTTTGCCATTCTAAGTTGTATAAAAAAAAAAAGAAAAAAAAAAACTTAACCAATCGCTATGAAATTTGGTTGGATTATATGGAATAAAAAAAAAACATAGGCAACTTGTTATCTAAGTTAATGATCATATCCCCGTCACGCGGACAAAGTAGCGGGCAGGAGCTAGTCCATAATAAATTACAAATGTGAAAGTGTTCGTTGTTACCTGTTGGCGTCTTAACACCTGTAACTCTCATCGTGAAATTTGGTATACATCCGAATAATATTTGGGGCGAAAAAGGACAGCCTTATTTTTATTCCGATCAATAAACATTATCCGATCACGCGGACGAGGTTACGGGTTAAAATTAGTACTCCGTAAATCTCTTATGTGAGTACCCAAATAAGGTTCAAGGTCAAAGATTAGATGCAGGCCCTGTTAAAATTGTTTTTCAAACTTTATTAATCCGAGGGTGGAATATTTGATCCAACGTGTCTGGTAGACACGCCCCCTTCTAGGCCGTTTTAAATTCGATAATGTTCGATGTAAAAAAAACCGTCCTCGTATTATCAAATTTGTGGTTTTACATTCTTAACATTACAATTTCCACCAAGATTCTATACGTTAGCTTTTGTCGTCATGACTAGTGGTTATTAATTATGATGCGGTCATAATTAGGCCATAATGGCCTACGCTATGACCACAACATAATTAGTTTCTTATTTATTGTACATATAATATGTATATGAGTAGATTAGATAATTTCTGATTAAAATAATGGCAAGTGAAGAATTTTCTTGATTTACATATTAGTAATGAACATTTTTGGTCGAAATGTTTTTGGGTGATGATCATTAGAGTAATTTGTAGCCTAAGTCTTGACTGTCTTTAATAAATGGGATGTCATTAGAATTGTCATAATTGTATGAATGCTATAGGTATTTTGTGACGTTAGTATATAATTAATATGATCATTATAAAATGTCAAAAACTTGCTAAATTTAATAGGCGGTTTTTTGACAACGTCAACTTTTTTTTTTTTATACAACTTAGAATGGCAAACAAGCTGATGGCCCACCTGATGGAAAGTGGTAACCGTCGCCTAGAGACATAAGCAGTACCATGGACATAACAGAGTATACTGTTTCGCCCATGATACAATCATGCGTTTCCATTCCTGAGGACTCAGATGTTATTCCTCTGTACCCTGTAAATTCACGCCATGTCCCACCCTTCAAACCGAAACACAGCTATGCAAACACAACTGCTTCACGGTAGAAACACGAATGGGACAGAGGTACCCAAGCAATCGACTTTTGTACAAAGTCTCCCTCTGGTGACTTATTTTAATGTTATATATACTGTGGTTTTTACAGTGTTTATGACTGAGGTAACATAGATTTAGATGGAGTGTTGAAAGTTATAAAACGTCTCAAAAAATGGCCAACCAATTACAGACACATCGTTTTTCCATAGTGTACGAAAATTTGAAAGTAAAATAATAATAATAATAAAATAATAAAAAAAATTTGAGTGATAACAGTTATAAATTACAAAATGTTTTTACAAAACTTTAAAAAGTGCACCTATTTAACAAGTTAAGCAGTTTTTGTCGAAGCTTTTCTAGGCATTTCTATCCAGATAAAAGGGTTTATGATTATAATCAATAGTAAGTATCATCATATCAGCCGTTACTGATGAACATAAACCTCTTCCTAATATTCTGAGTAGTTGCCATTCTCGGCAGGTGAGTTGGCAACCGTAGTTAGTCTTTGGTGATGTTTTAAAAAATCCCTCGACCATTAATTTCCTCTAGTCGCCTTTTACGGCACTCGCGGAAAAAGAAGTGATGACCCACTATGCCGGGACAACACGGCAAGTAATAATATATATACACACCTGAAACCTCTTTCGTGATTTCTGTCGGGCGCACAAAAAGATACTTTCTCGATGGTCTGATCTACAATAAGCCCCTTGGTTTCCTCCTCAACTACGCGCAGACCATCGCCACTAACATGCAGTACAGCACGCACTGGTCGTCGACGGGAGTTCTGGAATGTTCATTAAAGTATATTAAACACATATCAAATATATACTTTCTTATAGTGTGTGATGCAGTACCGTAAAATCATGTGTATCTATCTCCTACCAATATATAATATGAAGATATGTAAAAATGTTAAGACTTTTAACGCTCAATCACGCTTAAACAGGTAAACATATTTAAAGATATTTTGGTAAACTGATAGAAAGTGTATTATTTTAAAATCTAAATTAACAAGTAATACTTTTTATCCTATTTACACGAGTAAAGCTAAGAAGTGAAAGTCAGTGACGGGTGTTATAAACTTCCTGCCAGACTTGCTACAGTAATGACTCACGTTAGAAACATTGGATGAATGTTATTTTAAGCTATACATATAACAATTACAATTGCTAGCGAGAAACTAGGATTTTCTTGAATTAACAAATTCTATAGAATTTGTTCTGTAAAATGAAAGAGGATCAGCAGTCGCCCTTCAAAATAATAACAAGTCTATTGCATATTCATGAATATAATTAATTAATAATATTTACTATTCTTATGATTAAAGTGTGTATGTGTACACCTAAGAAAAATCATACTAATATTATAAATGGGAAGGATTTTAAAGACGTTTAGATGTTTGAATGTCTGTTATTAAATTTTACTTAAAAGCTGCTGGGATTTGAATGAACTTTATATTCTTTATACTAATGAATATAGTCAAATTCGCGGAAACTTGTCATATAACCATTAATAAGTATAGGTATACATTTATATTTAAAAATATAAGTTCGTAAGAATTAAATGAGTGTACAATAGGTGGAATGATTTGTCATAATGACAGATTTATGTAAAAAATAATTAAATGTAAAATACTGTAATTATAAAGACAATGTACAAAACTGGAATAACCACGATTAGACAGCTCACTAGTAGGTAATTCACTGTAAAGCGAATGAGTCAACTAACTTTCTCTTGTATAATTAGGAACTAGGTACCTGGAGAAAGAGTCATCTTTTGATTTAAATTACGAACAACCGTTTTGAAGTAATTTAAACTTCTTCAAGAACTACTCTGCAGAGGATATGTAGCATTGTAATATAAGAGAGGTGCATCACTAGTGAATAGAGAAGCTTTTAATATTCACCCTAAGGACTTTAAGGGCCTCCTCGCAGACTTGCATGCCCCGCGACTCGAATACCTCGACGCAACCGAGGTACTTGACGGGGAAGGTGCACGTGCCAGCGCGGACGGCCGCTTCGTCCGCGTGCCACTGGTGCGGACGCGCGGACTCCGGCGGCGATCCTTTGCGCCGGCGGAACGACTCGCGGAACGAGCGACGGAGCCGCTCCATGCCGGCGCGCGGAGGCGACAGTGCTGCGCCTGCGCGCGCCCTTCTCAGAGAACTTCGAACTGACGACTTCTGAAAACAAAAAACACATGCGTTTAAATGGAATTAGAGGAAAATCGTATCACTTCTCATATGCTGTAACTTATTCTGAATTTCATTTCAATAAATGAAATAATTTATTAATGAAAACACCGTAACGAAGTTATTTAGATTTAAGATATTTTAAGTAAAAGGATCTTGAGAAGACGGCAGTTGGCCTACATCCTGTCATTTTGGATTCCCATATAGTTACAGAGCTGATGAAATACCAACTTTAAGTTCACTGTAACAGTAATGTACAGTTACAAAGTGCCTTTGACTACATTTGAATTAGAGTAGTAAGAATATATTTTTTTGCATTAGCATCAACAAGCGGGGCAATAGACTCTCTGAAAGTTCTATAGCTAATCTGTTTTCTTTTTCCAGTTAGTTATAGAAGTTAAATGAAAAATTAATGGCTGTATGTACCTTTGATCTTTAAATATTATACTTTTTCGGCTCACATGGCATTTTCTAACTATTCCAACATAGTAGGTCCTAGTATTTGGGATATATGGTGGTTAAAATTATATCCTAGCTAGAGTCCAGGATTATTATGGGCAAAAAATAGATGTTGAACATTGAAAGAATACTATTTTGTTCAACTGCGTATACCAATATTTATTTATTTATTTATACTTTTGCACACATTGAAAAATGTCTACAGGGCGGACATAATGCCTGATGGCATTCTCTACCAGTCAACCGCCACGCCAAACACACACACACACACACACAGAGAGAGAGAGCAAATGGCGGTGAATAGATTTAAGAAAATAGTAAATTAAATAAATATTTTAAGAGATAACAATTTATGATAAATAAACATACAAACATATAGAACAATATACTTACAAAAATATATACACACAAATCACAAACAATACATATATAAATAACGATATATAGTATATACTAAATTAAAAGATATATAAATAATAACTAATTATATAACAGATTAAGGCTTTTCATTGTTGTGATAAATTGAAGTAATGTTCACGAGGGGACTTTTTGAAGGAAAATTTGGTTAGCGACTTTTTGATATCAATAGGCAGTGCATTCCAAAGGTTGATAGCTGAGATGGTAAAAAATGGAGAGGAGAAGTTTGAATTAATGCCTCCTTAACTTTCATTTGCCACATATCTATTAAGATTCTATATAACATCCTTGAATGCTTATTGTATTGCTATATTACAGTAATAATTCACTATTTATTCTCTGATTGTATGAGATATTATTATCTGCTTCACTGCGAAAGGTGAATGATTTCAATTAAATATTATCGCTCATATCTGATAAGGGAACAAATTAGTAGCCCTTGGGATAAGTACATAGTATTGTACGTGGAAAAAATAGAATCACCCAGAGACCAAAACCATCATTCATCAAATATTTTATGGTATCAATCGCATAGCTTGACCACAGTGTAAAGTCATCAGTGGTCTAATGCCATTGGAATATCTTAAACTGTCATATAATTGTATGACGGTTGGGGCTCATTGCTCTATCATGGAGGTGACCGTTGTACGAATGATAGAAGAAAGTTCTTTACACTGTGGTACGGTCAAGATTCTTTACACTGACTTAGCTAAAATTCGTTTACCATAATTATTATATTATTCAGTACGAAAATGCACTGTCTCCTAAGAGGTTTAACATAACAATATTATTATTTACCTATTGACCTATTGGTAATAAAATTTTTAATTATAAAATATTATACTTACATATGCCGAATGCCAATAGGCACCAAATTCATTTACTTATATAATTATACTACATGTAATTTATACAAGCATCTAGAATCTGCATTGTAAATAATTAAAATTCGTGACATTTCAAATCCTTATCTGAATAGGAAAAAACCATCTATTTTATGAATACCTAAGCTGAATAGAGCACACACTGCGTTTATTGTAGTCGCCACATTGCTACTACCTGTTGAAACCTAGGAGACACATACATGCAGCTGTAGTTCGGTATAAGATATGAAGAACTGATAAGATTAAATGCTAGGTAGTTTCGTGTTAACTTTTGGTATTTCATAGTTCAGTGGAGAAATACAATATAAGTTCTAAGAAATATATTTCTTCTATATGTGACTCCAATAATGGCTTACATAATTTACTGAATTACATAGTTTTCTTTAGTCTTCTAATACCATTTATTATTTAATATAGTAATATTTTATGTACATTTATTTATGTATGTATTTATTATATGTAGGTATATTAATTACAAATGCATATTTTGTGTATATATAAGTCTGATTATATATTAATATTTGTTCGCGATATTCTAGTTTTTAAAATATCGCTAACAATAAGTATTAATAATATAAAAACTAGAATATCGCGAACAATAATATATTATTATACATGTGTTTACCCAATGGTTGACAACATCATCCGCTGTTAAGTCTGTCAAAATATACATACATTTATACAGTGCATTAAAGCTTAAATAAATAAATACATAAAAAAAAAAAATAAAAATAACTTAAAATTTAGCTTTTGGCTGTTTTTGTTATGACTGTTTTATTATCTGTATTAGATTTCTGGATTAAAAATTCATCTAATAATAATAATAATCAGTCAGTTGCGTTTTAGTACATTCTTTCTATGGTAGTGATCAATCACCAGCACTATGCTATAACAGGTAGAGTGTAGGAGAGTTACATTTACATGCTGTTTTATTTTTTATCTCTATGCGCATAGAATTCGGGAGATTTTGTGCAAAAGTCAATATAGAATCTAGAACCAGACTCGCTACAATATGTCGTGGGATCAAAATTGATCAAATGTTCTCAACAAATGATTCCTAACAGTCTACACCTAACTAACAACTATCACTTTTATAAAATATAAAAAATCTGCACATTTTTTTAACTTATTAAATAGAATACGAAAAATAGTAAATGACTTTATATATGACGTTTGACCTCTCGTTCCCTAACAATTTACCGTCACTCGTATAGATGGGAACTTTTGAGACTTTATTTAGAATTATGTGGTTTTAGAAGATTGATTTTTAAACAGTCTTTTAAATTTCCGAAGTGCAATGTCTTTATTCTTAGGTAATGCAATTTTTATTGTCCACACTGACACAATTAACCTTTGACTTTAAACGTTATTTAGTAAAAAAATGATAAAAATTAATAATGTTCATTTAGCTCAATTAAATACACTTAAGATATCAGATCATTTGTCACTTGTTAATTAAAATAGTCTGTTTTTTACGTATACCGGCGTACATTTACAAGTATACTAAATATAATGCCATACTACTACTTGATTCTATCCTTGCTCAGATCTCTTGTTTCATAAACATATTATACATACGTGTCGGTCGATCTTTTTCGGGATTAAATGATCAGCAATAATCATTCTGTCAATTTTATATTTCTTTTACATTAATACCCGCCCACTATGTACTCTTTATTATAACAGATTGTGAATTGTTAATCTTTGTCGGGTGCTCACGATACAGGTTCGCGTAGTGTGGGGCCCATTGTACTCGTATCTTGTATTTGTATCTTTGTGTTTTTGTCAAATAATAAATTTCTATTCTATTTCTATGTAATTGGCAATCAGATTTATTAGAATAAGCTGTAAGAAATATAGAGTGATAATACAGACAGGTAGTCAGATTTACATGAACGTTCATATCTTTTTTAGAAAGCAAGTATTCTCGTCTACTCTATAAAACAATTGAATATCTTTACAAGTTTTTTATCACTATTAACATTGTGCAAACAACGATATCTCATCACACTTTCGCTTTTATAATGTTATATTTACACACTAGGTCTCATGCGGAGTGAGCAGAAATACCCGAGTTCCAAAGGCTGTAATGCTTACACCGTTTTTCATTTCAGGCTTTATTTAATATATTAACTCGTCTCATGCAGGTGCTTTCAGAATCAATGTCATACATAATATATTAATTCCGGAGACTTTTGACTCCTCCAACAAACAGTATACGGTCTATCTAATTATTGCGAGTCTTCTCTGGCACCCGGATCTTTTTTTTTCGTATTGTAAAACTACAATCTTTTCAGACTGGGTTACCATTCCATTTTTATCAATAGAAAAAAATTTGCAGGTCTTTCCCAATGAGAATATTGCTATTCTATTTCTAAATAAAAAAGGTTAGGTTTTTGCTAAAATCATTGAATTTTACATGGAAAATGAAAATAATAAAAAGTATATAATATCGCTATAATATTATGCACATTCATGGGTCATTTGACTAAATTTATGTTTTTGTTTTCAAGAATGAAAACATTGAAAATTCGTGCTATTTATGAATACAAGTTTTGTCATGCGTGTCGCAATCTGTCCCTACAAATAAAATAACAGCACTGCAGAAACACTTCATTGCGGCTCAGAATCTAATGATAAAATATCTGGATATTTCGATCTATTCGGAAGTTATTTTAAAATTGTCTAAAAATGCATTGCAAGTAGTAATAAGATTGTAAAGGTCTTTAAGTATTTAGCATGGCCATATTTCATCTAATTTCTGTAACTTGTAATTAATTCGACATACAGTATAAGCAATACTGCTTTTTAGTATTTAGTATCTATTTAATTAAATGTTTTTTCTTATAAATACTTAATAATTTTTTGAGCACTACAAATATCTTTCCAAAGTTTCCTTTAAATTTTCATGAAAATATACGGACAGATGGCCAAACGGACAGACAGAAAATTGATCATATTATAGAGGTTACATTTTAGCTACAAGAAACACGCTGTAATGAAACTGCAATAATGAACTTATGTTAAAAAAATATCAGATTATTTGAAGGAGACAACACAAAAAGATTGGCTGTTTGATAACAAAAACAAATTGTGACATTGAATTGTGTATAAGTAAAACAAGGCAAATTAAATTTACTAGGTATAACCTCTATGAGAAATACGGTAATTACGCGGTATTCTATTGTTACGTCTTTGATTACCTAATTTTAGTTAGACTGAATATAGCTATCGAATTAAAAAAAATATAGAGGGGTGGGATATTAAACGAAACATATACCAATCCGAAAATGATTTTGATACACTTTAATTGGTTTTAGTTTTTTTTGGTCAGTGTATTGAATCTCTCATCCGAAAAATGGGTATTGGCGACCCGCACAAATGCTAAAGTTAAATGACTTAAACGCCTGAAAATAAGCGCTATATAGGTATATTTCGCTGGAGGTGTGCATACATAGCAACAGCTGGGGCGGTTCCTATTACCAGCAAAATGTACTGATTTTTTTCTAATTATTGTTATTTATTTTCACCTATAATTATTATTTTTGTTGTTGGTAATAGACTGTATCTATCTATCTAATTGTACAGAAATATAACAAAATGGTTTCTAGGCAACAAGACTAAATTTTAATACATTATTTTCCTTTTAATGTCTCATTCTTACACGCCTAATAAATGTCTATTTTCTATTTGTACAAGTAATAACTAATTTTATATTTCTTTTCTTGACAATAAATAATTTTCCAAATATTTTAAGTCCAAATTGTTGTCTATTCCATAATAAATTCTAATCATAAAGCAAGACATCCTATCTTTAAATTTATATAAAAAAATATGCATAAAAAATTTAGGTGCAATAATATATTTGTAATTTTTTTTTTTGTTTAATTTGTTATATTGTAACAAATACATTGTCATTATTAAACAGATAAGCAAATTCTCTGCGAATACCGCATATTAGTGTGTAATTTTTATGTGTAATAATAGAGCTTACACCTCATACTATATGTCACCATATGTACAAAATGTGTCCAGTAATCGATTGAGCCACTACTGATATACAATGTAGCAGCTTTGTTAGGATGAGGTCGCGTGCATAAGGACCCCAAATATATTTTTGATCCAATTTATTAACTTTAGTATTTATGCCCATCTGTCAGTATCACTACATAGTATAAAACAAAGTTGCTGTCGCTGTCTGTCCGTCCCTATGTATGCTTAAATGTTTAAAACTACGCAACGGATTTTGAAACTTTTTTTTTTTAATAGATAGTGATTCAAGAGGAAAGTTTATTTATAATACATGCATAATATAGTAGAGGAACACTGATAATTTTAGAGGTTTCTAATGTGATGTCGTAATGTAATGGGGGACCGGCGACGCTATTTGTGTAGTACCAGCATTGCACCCGTGCGAAGCCGGGGCGGGTCGCTAGTGTGTTATAATTTGAATCTGGCATAGATCTAAAAATTATTTATTTTACTTAAATTCTTTTAGCTCATTGAATGAGGTAGGTAATTCAAGCGTACCTTTTTTTATGCCTTTGTTTACAGAGATTTTAGAATTTCTCAATTCGCACAATATCTTAAATTTACATGTTATTACTTCGTCGTTAGTCTACCGTTATCAAAATCAACTAAAGTAATTAAATGGTTTACTTATTTGTATTTATTCTAGTTCTTTGTTACATTTTCAACAATGCAAAAACATTGGGCATCGTTAACATGGTAGGCAGGATCACAGCTGTTATACCACATACTTTTCTATCACAATTGTTTATGTCTATTCGACAACCAATATTACAGTTTCTGCTTCTATGCTCCCAGAGAAATACAATCTAGAATTCTTCAAGTCGATGGTGAACTTAAATTATAACGTTGTACGTAAAGTTTATGATAGTAAATAAGTATCTTCTGGGTAATCCATCGTTCCATCTTAAATCTTATCATCACTTACCTTTAGATGAAGTGAGATCAAGCGCGAACTATTAGGTACATGACTATTACATTTACAATGCGCTTTATTGTTGTTTAGCAAAAGTATGAACTTTTTGTTCTTACGAAAAGCCAGTTTTAAGTAATCTAGTAGTGGCGAACGGCGTAGCGAAAGGGGTTACCCACCCCCGCCATTTGATCCTAGGAAGACTCCAAACGCCTCCATTTTCCTCATCAATATCCATATTCTATGTATGTTTATGTAAATTGGGGGCCTCATTCAGGCTTGTCGCCTCGAGCCTCAGACAGGCTTAGTCCGCCACTGCTTCGTAATTTAGGATCGTAAAACGAGTCAATATTTCAGAAAATAACAACGTTACATTTATCATTGATAATACGAGTCTCTCAGATAATCATTCGATTTCTTTCAACTAAAATTTGGTGTACACGTAAAGTATTTGGCATGACGAACATAGGCTACTTTTATCCTAGTCAATCAACACGCCCCGGTCGCTCGAGTGAAGTCGCGAGCACAGCTAGTACGTAATATACTATTTGTAGCATGTAGTAAGTAAATAGTATTTGCCGGTTTTTATTTACGTCTTGAACAACAGATCGAAATGTTTTTGTTCCTAAAGGACGGTATATACTATGGTTTCGATATGTTTGTTGATTATAAACAATGTCGAATAGTGAAAACTCAAAGTTTAAATCGCTTAAATACTGTGAACATTTTAGAGGTTTAAACTGTAGAAAATGAAGTTGTCAGCGAAACAGGATTTCGTCAATTATTTAAATCTAGAAATCAAAATTATTTATAACAATTTATTGTTATTAATGTACAGTATTTGATGGGAACATCCAAAATATATCTAAATATATTATTGCAAATTTTTGTATAAAGCCAAATAAGATTTACTAACTTTTATGAAACGAATAATACTAAACAGAAAGCTTGTACTTAGTATTGAGCTTGCTGAAATGTTATACAACTTAGAATAAATTACATTAAAAGAAAAACATGATGGCCCACCAAGGAAAAAACTGATGGAAACTGGTAACCGTTACCTATAGACATGAACAGTACCATAGATATAAGAGAGTATACTGTGTGGCGCCACAATTTTAATTCGGTACGAAATTTATTGTCGTTTTCACCAATGTTTTCTTGGTAAAAATGTTCAATTTCACTCATAAGATACTATCTTCAAAAATGCTAACGAGTTCTATTTAAATCTGTATATGATTAAATTAAATTTTGTACCTAATTAATATTGGAGATTCACATTTTTTGTCGTTTATAGATCCTTGGTGTATCGATGGCGTGCGCTCATTTGGGCAAAAACCCCATTAAATGTAATAAACTTTTATTTTAACATTTTAAATTGTGTGATTAAAATTGAATTACTCATGAGTAAACTTAGTAGTGTTGATATAATCAATACCTCTGGCAGGGGGGGAAAAGGGATTGTTAGTAATAGGGATTAACAGTCCCATTGCTATCAAAATGCCATATCAGGTCGAACTTCACGCGGTTCCCCCTAAAAACCATCTTGGTTAATTCTTTATGAACTCGCTACTATGGACCAACTGACCTATTCCATCCTTACCTATCGTCTCTCATTGGTGCCTCGTCAGCGTATCCCGACAACGCAGGCTGGGTTAGCATTCCATTATCACCCATTAAAAAAATACCTCTAGTAGGTATTTATGTCATTTTGGCGTCTAACTAAATTTAATAGAGAGCTATAATAAACTTGTCTCGCTATTAACTAAACCGGTTCACATACAGTGTGTTTGGTATCCGACCTTGGAGCCTTTAACCTCCACTTTTTATTCTTTGTAGTAAAATGATGCATGTAATACAGCCAGGAGCTTCGTCAAACACTTTGTAAGTTTAAAGCGCATAGTAATATAAACTTAGCAACTATCTATTTCAGGTATTCCTTTGTAAAGTTACAGTTTACATAAATACTTGTTATAACAACAAGAAACGGTCCTACATGAATTTTAACAATAGAAATAGTTATGCAAAAAACAGCCAGCTATTTCTTAAGAATATCACAGGTAATGTGGCCATTTTCTGCATATTTAGCCCTAAATCATCTACCTACGTACGTATATGTATTATACGTACCTATATGTATTATACGTATAATACATATAGGTATTGTAAATTATTATAAATATTGTATCTACTATAATAAGGATTACCTATAAGATTATTTATTCTCATGTATCACCATGATATAGATATCTAAGCTGATGCTAGTGAGAACAAAAACGTCCTTTTGTAATTAAAGTCGACATAGGTACAATACAGTAACTTACTTGCCCACCGAGACACTGACTCAGTGATTCAAATAATGAATATCTAATAGATAATAAATAAATATGATTAAAGGAGTGTCGAACCATTTTGAGGTCGGTGTTTTGAGCCGCTTGTGCTCGATCTAGCGGCTCGTGAGGTGATGATCCTTGGTTACCCATTTTGTAACCTTAGTCCCGGAACTGCTTTTAAGATAACCACTTCATTCGCTAATAATAATTTAACTACTTTGATAGCACGTCATCACATCACACACACACTGTAACTATTTTATTGGTATTTGATTCTAATGTTCTATCTAACGTTTATTTCACAACTTCATTCATGAGCACAAAACGTGTTGCCTAATACGTATTACAGTAATGTCCTCTTCTGCCATACGCACGTAATTCGTAGCACAATAAGATAATAATTTTGATGATGTGAAACTCAACAAACATCACAAAGCTCAGAATAAATAATTTAGGTTTAGGAATGCTGCAACCTTGGAATCTTGCGCGTAAAAAACAAATTTATCACTACTTCTTGTATCTGGGTGCCGCATAATCTCTACCAAATAGCTAATGAATTTAAATAATTTTAAAAATATACCTGTCTTGTTTAATAACACAGACATAATTATTGTTTCATAAAACTTTCAACTTCTCGCACAGAATTGCATATCAAAGACAGTAGTCAGTCTCTAACACAAATCGTGTGAATTCGTTAACAATATTTTTTAAAACGGGGGTCAACTTTTCCCACAAACGATGAATAAACGCAGAGAGGCGCATTGAACCCGGCACCCGGCCCGAGGGGGGAGAGAGGTTAGGTAGGTAGCTGGGAACGACTGCCGATGCCAGCTGTACGTTATTTTTTCCCACAGCATTGTTCTTTGGACCGTAGCGTGTAACAATTATAAAAAGTAATCCAAAATATCACTAATTTGCACTTTCACTGTAATATTTCTTTTAGCATAATATGGCAAAACTACATTTTGACTAGAAGGAAGTTGAGGAATGTAGTTTATGTGTGTACACGGGATGTGCGCGCACGCCGCGCCTTGAGCGGACAACTGTCGTACTGACTGGCCCGTACGGCATGCGGCGTGAATCGCACAAAACCCTGCAGTGCGGTGTGGAGTCCCCGACCCGTCTCAATCCATACCTCACCCCGCGGCGACCGGTCCTTTGCATTGTCAAGATTGACGATCGGTGAGATCATCAGTAGAATCCATAGCCATTTAATCTAAACTCAATAATGGCAAAAACCCGTTCTCGAAACTTGAAACGTGCAAATCTTACCAAAGAAAATCTTTCGAGAAATATTCAAAGATATCTAAATTAGATGAAGGTAAAACTTTTACGAAGAAACGTAACAAAAATGATACCTTATACCTTATGGACACAGAAATAGATGCAAATCTAATAGGTAGACTTGTTCTTGAAAATGTTTAATAACTATCCAAGTACCTATGTGCATTAAAATTTCAAGTTGACAAAAGTGTACTGCTCCCCCCCCCCTCTCTACCATGCCCCCTCCTCTCTTCAACGACAACAACTGCCAACAAGGAATTGACATTATATTATTTAACATACATAAGTAATTGTTAACTAAGCAAACATTTCTCAGTTTGTGCCACATCTGGAATAGCACGCGCGAGTAATATGTGCGCCTGCGGACGCAGGTGTAGTATAAACGCCATATGCATCATGTGCTGCACTGTTGACTTGTAGAATGCAAAATTGAATTTATTTAAAGACATGGTTAGCATTAAAATAATCATAATTTGAACCCAAACTCAGTATCCTGATTAAAAATAACTTATCCACTGTAATAAAGTACAATAAAATTTATAATAAGTTAGTTTGTATTTAGGTATGCATATTTATTATTTCTTAGTAGAAATAAATATATTATTTCCACTTTCTTATTTCACGTACACTGCTCGCTGGTAATTAATGCTCCTTTCCACTCAAGATTTGTGGAAGGGAACTCTTACAGAGTTAAGCTCGCTTGTTGTACATATTTATTTAGAATAAATTATAACAATGTATACTTCGTGTACAATAAAGTATAAATTGATAAATAAAAATAAATCCAAACAGACAATTTATCAATGGTCTTGTAAATTCCTCTAAAATTAACGTATTCAATAAAATGAAAACAGATTTATGCATAAAATGTATTAAGATCGGATGACGTAGACGAGAATACAATATTTGATTCCAGTTTGACTCACCATCTGAGTCATGTATGTTTCAATGCCGTAGCTGTTCATATAGAAGAGAGTTTTTAAAACATTTTACTCTTTGTAACAGATCAGTTATGAATAAGCGAATGCGATCAAAAACATAACGCACAAATTATATATGTAAAATTGCTTTTTCATTTCTGCATTACCAAAATTTTTATAATATGGATTACCTATCTACCAATCAAGTTATGTAGATCGATTATTTATGTGATACGTAATTATTACATCAAATATGGTTGTGGCCAAAATATCTAGCAAAGGGTTTTAAAACCGTTAACGTATAATTAGCCAAACGAGCTAATAAGAAATAATTGTATGTACGAGTACATATATTCATTTTGATAAATATGTATTTAATTCGATATTGACTTCTATGTTCAAATTATAGACGTTGTTGAATTTGTTGCTAAATTGAATAAAAAATTAAATATAATAAATGTTACATAAGGAAATATCTATTTCCTTAGAACATAATCTTTATACGGTGTAAAAGTATGCGATGGGTTACAAGAATGACCAATCACTGGCACATTCATATGTGACGGTAATAACTGTAATTAGCTTTAAAATGTTTAATCAGCCTTTAAAAATATAATATATAGCCAGTAAAATATATTATTTAGTAGTTATAACTTATGGCTCTGACCATGTGAATTAGGATATACATAAGAACGTTATATGTTAATCTAAAAATCTTCAGTCTTCCGTGTAAGTTACATTGAGTAGCAAATTTCACGTATATAACATAAGTAGAATTATTTTGCTCATTTCTGTGGGTGTTTGTAACTATAAGTATAGAAAATAACCATTTACTAAATTGTTTAAGTACTTAAATAGCAAGAGATCGCCTACACTGCGGCGCCTACGCGATCATTACATATTGCACATCACTAATGTTTGTCTATTACATTACGGACTATTACAATTTACTTCGCAACTTCCTCACTTAGCAATTTGAACTCACCAAATACCTAATATTTTAATATATATTAAGTACTATTTTTAATTACATATTTTGTTGACATCGATTTTCTATAACCGATAGACGTCATCTTGTCCAAATTTTAATATTTGTTTGCGATTCAAAATATTAGAAATGTATAAACAAAGTTGAAATAGCAAAAATCATTGAAAAAAATCTATTTGAAACACTGCATTAGAAACATATGCGACTATGGTCCTCCTTTTTATACATTGAACAATATTATGATGATATTTCAAAACTTGAATGAAAAACAAAGAACAAATATTAATCGATTACAATATGTCGTTAGTACACCTATTGACTTGCAAATAAAAACGTATATCGTAAAAGTATCGTGTATTTTCATATCAATATATAATAAAGATTTTCTTTTGTACTTTTTTGGAATTATGTTTTTAATCTTTATATGTTGTCAATTTTTAACATTATATATGTCGGTCTCACATTAATTTTATTCCTAAAACTCATTTCTGTATCAGTTAGTATCAGTATTCTAGTCGTGTGGTCCCGGCATATAATGGGCCACCCCTTCCATTCCTGTTTTTAATTTAATAAATAAATAATATTGTCAAATATGTAGTCCCAAGACGTCGTGTGGTCCTGCCATGGAATGCTATAATAATAATGGCTACCCCTTTCCCGTGCGAGTCGTAAGAGGCGACTAAGAGAGTCGAGGGATGGGCAGCAGCGACCCTTTTAAAATATCACCAAAGCCTAACCACGGATGTTAACCCGCCACGCCAAGCGTGACAACTACTAGCAAAATCCTCCTTATAGGAGAGGCCTATGTTCAGCAGTGGACAGGTAACGGAAGATATAATAATAATATCAATCTAATATGTCAATGAAACATCCCGTCATTCTTTGGTGTGTTTTATCATGACTTAATTAGCAATGTTTTTGAGGAAGCATGATGTGATGAGTCGGTAAATGTTACAAATTTTCTGTGTCACCATTTGCTAATTATCCAGGAAATTATGTTTAAAACATTCATGGAATTTCATTGTTAATTTAGGTATTACAATTATCTAAATGACACGTTCGATTTACCTACAATAGAAAACAAAGAGGTACACACCAGAGGACAGTGACATTGTTCCATCATCACCAACCGTAAAATCGACGCCATTGTTACTGTCTATTCTGCCACGATTTCCGCCAAATTGTTCATCTCATCCGTCTAAAGTACTGTTACTTGTACAAAGTCTATTTTTTACCCTGCTGGCTGACTTATTTCTTAAATGAATCCATCATATTTGTTAAAGATTCGCTAAACCCACCTAGCTAGTCAGTCGTCTGTTCCAATAATATTGCTCAACCAGTTCAACATCTACAATATTTTCAAATCAATATTTTTATTTACCATGTTTTTGTAATTACCTCATTCTTTGGTTACTCCCATAATTACTTAAATGCAGTAAGAGCTTATATTTCATTCTGAGCCACAATTTTTTTTTTAAATCGAATTTTAGTTACGCCAAATATGAAATATTTAAGTGGGTTCCAAGAACAATTTACATTTTAAAATCATATTTGAGAGTTGCAACTATTTGGGCGTCTTTATTACATTAAGCTGAAACAGTGACTTAAGTCGCACTGCACTTAATAGTGTTTACTATTGGTACCAAAATACTGATTCAAAAATCGGTATAGATCAGTATTCCATTTCGGAAAGTTGAATATCGTTACTCTAAATAATACCTATTGGTATTTTTTAATGGTACTGACAAGTCATGTCCATGACTTCATGGTGTGTCAACTGACCTGCGTGACCTGACTTTATCCTTACCTATCATAATTCATTGATACTCCACCGGCGTATAATGATAGCACAGACGAGGTTACTATTCTATTTTTGTTCTATTAAAAATCCAATCCCCATTGCTAGTAATATTTTATCAGGTTCACCACTACGCGCCCCCCTCCTGGAATGGAAGCCATCGTAGTTAATTTCTGGTAAATTAATCACATCCAACTGACCTAATTTCATCATGATCTGTTATTATTCACTGGTACCAGAATATCGATAGCATAGACGGGTTTACCATTTTACTCTCATCCAATTTAAAAAAATTACAATTGCCAGCAAATCATAAAACTGGAAACCATAATGAATTGGTCATAATGAATCAACTGATCTGACTTCAACGTCACCGTTTCGTACTGGTGCCCAGTTATTGTATGGGCGGGTGTACAATTCTATCATCATCCATAGGAAAAAACCGCCTAAGTGCGAGTCAAACTATTGCACCGAGGATTCCGTATAAATTACAATTAATATATATATATATATATATATATATATATTTATAAAGTAACTACAAATTCACTGTTTTCAGATATCCTTTCTCTATATTTGTGCTGTACGGCATTTCTTCCAGCCTTTTATAATTCTAGGTCAATAGGATTACCCTATAGGTCAAAATTTACGCAATAAATGGCCGTAGCTTTTGACTATTGACTTAAAAATTTGATTTTTTCACAGTAAAGGGATTGCAGACTCTAGTATTTGATATTATTTTTTTGATAACCTTATATCTTCTTTTGTTTCTGAGAAAGAGGGGCTTGTCACACAGAGAGACAGATGGATAACAAAGTGATTCTCTAAAGATTCCGTTTTTTCATTTTGGTACGGAATCCTAAAAAGCAACATTTGTCGTCCACAATACAGACGATAACTACGTATGGTAAAAGACAGGTTACGACCCTCTTTTATGTATCTCCAAGTGAGATTGCTTATTGTGTTTTTTTTTTAAGAACGGTTTTTAGTTAAAATCTATAACGCCACATTATTATAGTGTTTTTTTATGTTTTTTGTATCAAATAAAATGTAACAATCAGATAAAAATAAATCTATTT